GTCACCAGACGTGAAAGTACAGAGATATCTATTAATAAAGAACTGTTTTAAGATACGTTTAGACTGACATATTTCATTGAGATCATAGCGAATCCACTCTTGGCGCCAAGGTGTATTGAGACGCATACCATGTACATGTACTCTTGCATCCATTATCACATTGGTTTCAGCAGAAATTGAAAAATCACTTGCTTTCTGATCTTTTTCATCGGTCAGGTGCCCATTAATATTGATGAGTTAATGATATTTTTCAAGAAATTAGTTTCTTTCATAGGCCACGATTTTGGAAAAGATTCAAACATTACAAGAGTTTTTCAGTCCCTTTTACTTTGATAGATTTATTTATCAATAGTTTTACAAATGAAGTAACTCTATCCTTCATTGTCATTAATCTAATTTAAGTTACCAGTTTTGACTAGATCGACCTGTTATCTGTGAAATAAATATAAATATGTCAACATGGAGATTAGTTTTATCATCGTTTCAATACGACTCCTTGTCTTTTGAACTCGATTTGCACAGATATCGACGATTGTACTACCACTTCTTGCGCGAGTACAGGAACTTGTATTGATGGAGTTGACACCTTTACGTGCCAATGTGATGCTGGCTACGAAGGGACTACCTGTGAAACAAGTAAGCTTTAAATTCTAAACAGATTACATACCTACATATATGCACTGATGATGTAAAACAAAATCCAATGAAATTCTTACTCGTTGCTCATCGAGAATATTTAGGTACAGAGCAAACAAGGAAACATAAAGAAAGAAATTTCTAGTGACTGTTAAGGAAAATGTTGATGTTTCTCTTACTTGAGAGTCACCAGACGTGAAAGTACAGAGATCTCTATTAATAAAGAACTGTTTTAGGATACGTTTAGACTGACATATTTCATTGAGATCATAGCGAATCCACTCTTGGCGCCAAGGTGTATTGAGACGCATACCATGTACATGTACTCTTGCATCCATTATCACATTGGTTTCAGCAGAAATTGAAAAATCACTTGCTTTCTGATCTTTTTCATCGGTCAGGTGCCCATTAATATTGATGAGTTAATGATATTTTTCAAGAAATTAGTTTCTTTCATAGGCCACGATTTTGGAAAAGATTCAAACATTACAAGAGTTTTTCAGTCCCTTTTACTTTGATAGATTTATTTATCAATAGTTTTACAAATGAAGTAACTCTATCCTTCATTGTCATTAATCTAATTTAAGTTACCAGTTTTGACTAGATCGACCTGTTATCTGTGAAATAAATATAAATATGTCAACATGGAGATTAGTTTTATCATCGTTTTAATACGACTCCTTGTCTTTTGAACTCGATTTGCACAGATATCGACGATTGTACTACCACTTCTTGCGCGAGTACAGGAACTTGTATTGATGGAGTTGACACCTTTACGTGCCAATGTGATGCTGGCTACGAAGGGACTACCTGTGAAACAAGTAAGCTTTAAATTCTAAACAGATTACATACCTACATATATGCACTGATGATGTAAAACAAAATCCAATGAAATTCTTACTCGTTGCTCATCGAGAATATTTAGGTACAGAGCAAACAAGGAAACATAAAGAAAGAAATTTCTAGTGACTGTTAAGGAAAATGTTGATGTTTCTCTTACTTGAGAGTCACCAGACGTGAAAGTACAGAGATCTCTATTAATAAAGAACTGTTTTAGGATACGTTTAGACTGACATATTTCATTGAGATCATAGCGAATCCACTCTTGGCGCCAAGGTGTATTGAGACGCATACCATGTACATGTACTCTTGCATCCATTATCACATTGGTTTCAGCAGAAATTGAAAAATCACTTGCTTTCTGATCTTTTTCATCGGTCAGGTGCCCATTAATATTGATGAGTTAATGATATTTTTCAAGAAATTGTTTCTTTCATAGGCCACGATTTTGGAAAAGATTCAAACATTACAAGAGTTTTTCAGTCCCTTTTACTTTGATAGATTTATTTATCAATAGTTTTACAAATGAAGTAACTCTATCCTTCATTGTCATTAATCTAATTTAAGTTTCAAGTTTTGACTAGATCGACCTGTTATCTGTGAAATAAATATAAATATGTCAACATGGAGATTAGTTTTATCATCGTTTTAATACGACTCCTTGTCTTTTGAACTCGATTTGCACAGATATCGACGATTGTACTACCACTTCTTGCGCGAGTACAGGAACTTGTATTGATGGAGTTGACACCTTTACGTGCCAATGTGATGCTGGCTACGAAGGGACTACCTGTGAAACAAGTAAGCTTTAAATTACATACCTACATATTTGCACTGATGATGTAAAACAAAATCCAATGAAATTCTTACTCGTTGCTCATCGAGAATATTTAGGTACAGAGCAAACAAGGAAACATAAAGAAAGACATTTCTAGTGACTGTTAAGGAAATTTTTGATGTTTCTCTTACTTGAGAGTCACCAGACGTGAAAGTACAGAGATATCTATTAATAAAGAACTGTTTTAAGGATACGTTTAGACTGACATATTTCATTGAGATCATAGCGAATCCACTCTTGGCGCCAAGTGTATTGAGACGCATACCATGTACATGTACTCTTGCATCCATTATCACATTGGTTTCAGCAGAAATTGAAAAATCACTTGCTTTCTGATCTTTTTCATCGGTCAGGTGCCCATTAATATTGATGAGTTAATGATATTTTTCAAGAAATTAGTTTCTTTCATAGGCCACGATTTTGGAAAAGATTCAAACATTACAAGAGTTTTTCAGTCCCTTTTACTTTGATAGATTTATTTATCAATAGTTTTACAAATGAAGTAACTCTATCCTTCATTGTCATTAATCTAATTTAAGTTTCAAGTTTTGACTAGATCGACCTGTTATCTGTGAAATAAATATAAATATGTCAACATGGAGACTAGTTTTTCATCTGATTTTAATACCTATCTCAACTTCATTTTAGTTTATTTACTTTATTTAAGTATGTTTTGACAGTTTACAGATATCATTCCTTACTGATTTATTACCACTTCTTGTTCTGCGATAAACCTGTCAAATGGAAATTAATTTCATCCATTGTCTGAAACTCAATTTGCACCAACGAATGTGATCCAGTCTAGTGGAGGTGTACTGATGAAGTGAACAATAGTACTGCCTTTAGATTGCTAAACATTACAAACCTACATATATTTGGCATTAATCAATTGTCAAAGAAATTATAATGAAATTCTTATTCGTTACTCATCGTTTAGGAAACTATTTGAGTTAAATTCAGAGTCAACAAGTAAACAGACAAGAAATGCAATGATGTTTTCATCCTTTTCGGTTAAGAGAAAAAATCTCCTTTTGATTTCGAGTAGAAACGTACTAGAGGGCATGGTACCTCCAAGAGCAGATTTGATATCGTGATTACCACAGAAATCTCCATTAATCATGAATTGTTTTAGGAATGGTAAGACTGTTATAATTCATCCTTACCGTAGCCGTTTAACTTTTAGCGCCAAGATGTCTTGAAATTCAGACGATGTTTAGGCAATCTGTGCGTCCCTTTCGACTTTCATTTCACCTCAAAATGAAAAAATTTGCTTTAATGACCGTTTTGTTGTAGCAGGGGCACAACAATTGTGAGAAATGAATTTGTTCAAGATATATTTTCTTGAAGGTGCTTGTTCTTGGAGAAGAGTGAAACTGATGGAGTTTTTGTATACCTTTACAGGTAATTTATTTATCAATAGATTACAAATCTAGTAACATCTACCTTCAATTGTCGTTTCTCTTTAAGTTTCCATTTTGACTAGATGGACTTGTTATCTGTGAATAAATATAAATCTGTCAACATGAGAGATTAGTTTTTTTTTTTTTTAATTCATTCATTGTCTTTGAATCCATTTGCACAGATATCACGATTGTAATAAATTCATTGGAGAAAAAAGTCCCTGTTTTGATTGAGTTGAAACCTACAAAAAATGTGAATCCATGGTACCAAGAGTACAGATTTGAACATGTATACCTTTAAATTCCAAATCAGATTACAAACCTACATAGGTAAGACACTGATCATTCATCCTTATAGCCAATTAAATTTTAATAAGTAAGTCTATCTTGAAAATTTAGACAGAGTCAACAAGGTCCCAGACAAGACTTTCATTTTTCACCTTTTCGGTTATGAGAAATCTCCTTTTGATTTCGAGTAGAAACGTACAAAAAAAGGAGGGCAGGTACATCCAAGAGCAGATTTGATATCGTGATTACCACAGATCTCCATTAATCATGAATTGTTTTAGGTAATGGTAAGACTGTTATAATTCATCCTTACCGTAGCCGTTTAACTTTTAACACTAAGAGGTCTTGAAATTCAGACGATGTTTAGGCAATTTGTGCGTCCCTTTCGACTTTCATTTCACCTCAAATTAAAAAATTTGCTTTAATGACCGTATTGTTGTAGCAGGGGCACAACAAATTAAGTGAGACGATGAGATTTGTTCAAAAATATTAAGATTCTTGCTTAGTTTAGATTATAAAACTTTGATTGAAACAAATTTTAAGTAGTCGATTGGTTTTTACCTTTTTTCGTTTCAGTGATATTGTAATCAATACAAAGTATACATCTAGATGTAATCTTGTTGCTTTCCATTGTCGATTTATCTAAAATTCCACAATTTCCAGACTAGAATGGAGTTTTTACACCTGACGAATGAACATTAATATTCCTATCTCAACAAAGAAAATGCATTTCATCGATATTTAGTTTATTTACTTTATTTAAGTAATGTTTTGACAGTTTACCAAAGGATGTTTATCATTCCTTAACTGTCATTTATCTAAAATGCCAGTTTTTACTTAATTGTTCTGTTAGGGCGAAAAAATAGATAAACCTGTCAAATGGAGAATTAAGTCCCTTTTGTTCCATTCATTGTCTTTGAAACTCAATTTGCACAGATATCAACGAATGTGAATCCAGTCCGTGTTCTAGTGGAGAAGAGTGTACTGATGGAGTGAACATGTATGCCTGTACAGGTAAGCAAAATGGTCCAATCAGATTACAAACCTACATAGGTACACATTTGACATTAATCAATTGCTCGTTTCTCTTTAAGAAATCATATATAAAGAGCCAAAAAGTAATCATGAATAAGTATACAATCTGTCATTGATGAGAAAACCATTTAGTTTTTTTAATTCAGAGTCAACAAGGGTGTTACTACAGACAAGAGATGCAACAATGTTTTCATCCTTTTCGGTTCATTCATTATGAGAAAAAATTCTCTTTTTGATTTCGAGTATAAACGTACAAAAAAGGAGGGCATGGTACATTCAGACAATTCAGACGATGTATAGGCAATTTTTGCGTCCCTCTCGACTTTCATTTCACCTCCAAATGAAAGGTATTTGCTTTAAGCCATTACAGCATTAAGTTTGAGACGATGAGATTTGTTCAAAAATATTTTGCTTGCTAATTATCTTTTTCATCGGTCAGGGGCCCATTAATATTGATGAGTTAATGATATTTTTCAAGAAATTAGTTTCTTTCATAGGCCACGACTTTGGAAAAGATCCAAACATTAATAGAGATTTTTAGTTCCTTTTACTTTGATAGATTTAATTATCAATAGTTTTACAAATGAAGTAACTCTATCCTTCATTGTCATTTATCTAATTTAAGTTTCCAGTTACAGTGATTGTTGAGGAAACTCTTTGAGTTTTTTGTTACTTGACAGTTAACAGAAGTAAAAGTACAGACATACAGATTTGAACTTTGAAAGAAATATTCAGTCCATGTACTTGGTTTAATTTATTGACTTATAGTTTTACAAATGAGGTAACTCTTTCCCTGACCATTGTTAATCAAATTGAAGATACCACTTTTGACTTAATTTTTCTGTAATTCATCAAGTAAAGATGAATCTGTCAAAATGGGTGTGTTTTTTTTTTCGTTATCTTTATCAAAATCATTGACTTCTGAAATCAATTTTCACATGTTTAGGCGTTTGTATTGCCGATTCATGTATGTTCATCAATTAATCGATGAACAGTTCATATATTTAGATAAATATTCAAATTTGTATTTTTTTAATGCATTGTTTAGAGCGTATCTACATTGACTACGGCTCTTACCCCGACCGGTCACTGAGTTACTTTCAATACAACGTTCTTGCTTGGTACACTATAAGACTTGATACGGGGTTTCCTATCAGCTCCGGCCGGCTATACAACTACATCACTGTAAGTTTTACATTCAGCATTCAATATCGATGTGTCCTGGTATAGTGGTTCATTCACTTGACTCTGAAATCCAAGGGTTGAGGGTTCGAATCCAATCCCGGCACTAGCATCCTCTGGCAAGACATTTAATCATACTTGCAGGGCCCTAATAAATATTAGCATCGATGCTTATGAGGTTTTCATATTTTTATCATCAACCTCTTTCATTATTATTTCAGCTATTCAATGCTGCTTCATTCTTTAATTTTGTATTTCTATGTTCTTAGTAACACTATTATGTAAAGCACTACATTTACATAACCATCTCATTCAAAAAGATAATTGTAGGGTCTTTTTTTTAGAGATTAAGATAGGACATTTAGCCATGGGCTTCCTTTCAGTAAGGCCTTTGTTGCAGAGAGCTTTGATAGTAAAGTGCGGTTAATCCCACAACTCAGTACTCATTCATACCTCAGTCAACAGACCGAACAAAATATTGCATTGCCATTAATGGCCAAAAAACAATCGGTTCGGAGTCGATACGGGATCGGTTTAATGGTGTGACCAAGGTAATATGCATAACCGTTATCATCGAAAGAAAAGAAGTTTTCTTTTTTTCTGAGCATTTTCACCTCCTCTTTGTGTGCATCTTCTTTGATGTAGTTAATAAAGAGCATAATCTTGATGTCACCCACTCTAATATAAGATATATTTTCTCTTTGCCTTACTCGTACAGTTCACATCGACAGGAATGATCCATTTTTCGACCTACTCTCCACGCAGTTATACACTTTCCAAATACATCAACCCGTCTACGTTCAGTTTCTTCGATCAGCTCTATGCAGACCCTGCCATTGCGGTATTTGGTGCCCCGGTTGACCTCTACAGGGGTAACCCTAAGATCTACTACCAGGTGAGCATTCGTATACTTTCGTCCCACCTCCAAACCGACTGTATACCGATTGTTTATTTCCCATTCGAGGTAATGTAATGTCTTGTTCGGACTATAGTCGGCCTGGTGCTGGCCTCCTATAGGTGTGACTAAGGTATTAGCAAGTCCGTAACTACAATCTGCGCATATAGGCAGATAAGGGTAATTTGAACCAACTTTTTAAAACCCATCGAGTACGTTTGTACGCATTCTCTGATACACAGATGTAAATATTATACTCAAGAGGACAAACAAAAATATATTCATGAAGCACATCGATCACTTTCGCAGTGATTATTCTAAAATGCACAAAGTGGGACGTCTCCATGTGTAAAAAATCCAGGATTAATATGAGGTATTAATATTGTTATTAAAGGTTTTTATTATTATTATTAGTATTGTTGTTTTAATTCATTACTATTATCATTGTTATCAAACATACTTCTTGTTATTATTGTTATTATTGTCTGCATCGTCATTATAACTATTATGATGTTTTGTTTTACTAGTATGGAAACTCTGCTGCTCTGCTTGCAGCAGTGAAAGAAAGACTGTATGGAGCTCCGTCACTTCCGGCAGGATTAGAGTCCTCCCAGTTCATCAATGGAATCAACTTCATTCTTAAGGTCACGTGGGTTGATGTGCAGAATCCAGGATCAATCGCAGGACAGGAGGTGAATTTCACATCTAACACGTCGGCGTATCCAACATAGAGGGCAGATTTGAATTACTCCCTCTCCTTTCTGTCTTATAACCCCTACCCCCTCCCTCGTCACCTCCTCCCCCATGTCCTCCTATCTGTGTACTTATTTTATCACGTATCATGATTATACAATACTTGGTGAAGTCACTGCTTTTGTGTTGATGATCCACTACAATCTGTTCCAAGTTTCTTTCCTCTTTGGAGCATCGTGGTATATTAAAATAATTTTAGATTCATACGAGATGTCCCGGGTTCAATAATTGCATAGGTTGCTCTTTTCTTACATCCTCAGATAATTAAGGTGTTTTGAACGCATTTGTATCCTTCTTTCCACTTGTCTTTAATTTTTATCTGACAATGCTGGGGGAATAATAATTGCAGGACCCGCAGGAAGAGCAGTATTAATACTTACAACCTTATGTACACTCTTCCCTCCTTCAGACCAATACCTACCAAGCAATTCTCTTTACTGACGGCAGAAGAAGCGGTGTCTTGACGATGTATGAACAAGGAAGCTTTCAGTGGGATCCGTACTCTAAGGTTATACCTGCTAGGATTGGTTACAACATCAAACATGATAGACTGAATATCTACCAGGGAAACAATCCTGCTATACGGTACACAAGCTATCGCCCTGATCTCAGGATTGGCAACACCGGTCTCATGGTAAGGACTGTTTCCTTGAATATACTTGTAGTTAAGAATATCGTCATGTCAGGACGGCTGTCACGTCCCTTACATACATGTAACAACAGAAATCATGAGTAATTAGACAGTAAAGATTTGTACAATAAGAACAGCCTTGCTTTACGACACGCAATCAATTGTTAAGCAAACTGTAAGGACTATTAACTTGAATAAGTTAGTAATATCGTTATGTTTGGACGGTAATTATGTCTCTTACCTAAAATGATGAGATATGAATAAACAATATTAGGTAGAAAGTAGAATCACTATACTATGCGCTATATACGTCAGCTATTGCTCTGATCTTAGAATTACACTGGTCTCATAGTAAGTAACATTTCCCTGAATATAATTAGGAATGTCGTTATTTTAGGGTAGCTATTACGTCATTCCCCCCCCCCACCTTAAAAGTGAAATAAATCATAACAAATTATTGAAGCTTATTACAAATTACAAGAGCCCTGCTATATTATACAACCAAGATAATAATCATGATAATTATAATGATAATAATAATAATAATTACATGGATCACACCGTAGTTCAAACCATGTTTTGCTCATACGTACAGGGGAGAGACATCTATCGTCTTGACGCAAATCCTGACTGGTACGTCAACCCCCGCCGTTACTGTCAAGATTGGTACCTGGATGATCTCTCAAAGATATCATATGCACGGTGGGCACAGCCATGTCCTTGCACCCGCTGGCAGGCCAGGATCGATCGAAGGTTTACTCGATGCAACTATCCCTCCTACGGATATGGTTACGGATACGGGTTTAATTATGGCTACAGCTATGGGCTGCAGAGTTATAACTACGGTGAGCAGCATTGTTTTAATGTCACTTCATAATAATCATAACGGCCCCTGTAATTATAATTACATCAGCATTGCCAGGTATGTCCATTTACACATGTGCCGAGAGGGACAAATGTCGATAAAAATCCTTGTACACGGATGTAAACACCATACAATGAAGGATCAAAACCCAGGACCGTCTATCCAAAGGACGTTAGTGCCGGGCAAATTTCTGAATGGAAAATGAAATACCTAATTTAAATTTTCATTTCTATTTCAATTCCTTTTCATTCAGATCATTCCAATACCTCAACGTATCATTATGTCAACTACACAATCAAACTTTTCAATTGTTTCCTTCATACAGTTTCTTTCCTAATTTAGTCACATGACCAGTACCCGACTTCTTTTAACTACTATCGTAGCCAAAACTTCTGAACGGTGTGTGTGGGGGGGGGGGGGGGTGTTGACACCCAAACACCTTGGATTGGATAGGTCCAAGTTACGTGGATAATCTTCTATTTTTAGCAGATGATCAGGAGGGGCGGGGAGCATAGACCACTGTGCATTTCATTAACCATGTTTCCTCTCTGCATTCTGTTAACAGATGGAAGAGGAACGATCTGTTACCAGCCTAGATGGCCCTCATTTGGTGGTGGTGGATACCGTTGTACTTACGATCAGTCTGCTTTGAGCAGGGGTTATAGGGCCAGTCACTACCAAGCAGTCATGCCCTCCAATCGTCGATTCTTCTCTTATTACTATTATTCCCTTGATTACTATTATTCTTGGATTGGTGAGTACACCTAAATTCCTGTGATTCCAATTCACTAACGTTACATTGAAAGGCGTTGCAGGTAGGCCCATACGCGGGGGGTGGGGGTTAAACCCCACATCCCCTTTGAGATTGTTTATTTGTGTATTTTAGAGACCCCCCCCCCTTTTTTTTTTTTACCTAAAAAGGTGACCTTACCCCCCCCCCCCCCCCCCCCCTTGAAAAAATCCTGCGTACGCTACTGGTTGCAGGGATATGCAAGGTGAACATCTCAAAATGGTGTAAAAATCATAACCCAAAACTTTCCTTATAATAAAGTGGCAAAATGTTCATTATTCGCAAAAAGACAGTCATTTTTATTTTCAAGTTTGCATTTTTCAACTGGCAGTGTTTAATTCAACCCCATTTGTTGTGTACAAATTGGGCCTTCATTCTTTAATCATAGAAAATAAACCACAGAGTCATCTTAGATTGTGTACATACTTTCATAAACTCATCTTGCTCTTACAGTTTAATTTTGAGATAATTTATTGAAGGCTTGCTAATCTGTGACGTGGGCTTTTAAATGGAAACAATTTCTACAAGGGTGACGTCTGGTTCTCTGTCTTTTATGTTTCCATGTGTGTTAGATGTGTTATGATAATCAATTCATTTGAAACATCCCCTAAAAGCATTTACTTATTTAATGCCAATAGTAATAAAACGTAAAATTAAAATTTAGATATTTCCTTGTTTTTTTCTTCTGAGCGTTTGTTTTAGTAATAAAACGTAATTGGACAACTGTACAAAACAAACTCTGGGACATTCGGCCACTATTAAATTTGCTAATTGTTATCTCACATGCACGCCCCTCTCTTTCTGTCCCTCCCCCCCCCCCCCTCCATCTCTCTTTTTCTCTTTTGTCTCTTTCTCCCTCTCTCGCTCTCTTCTTTCTCTGTCTTCTTTCTCAATCTCTTTTTGCCCTTTCTTAATGATCTCCTTTTCTAAACTCGTTTTCATTTATTCAGAGAGGGACGTCCTACCCCGTTTCTTCTGCTGTGGTCTGGCTGGAGGGAATTTCTGTAACCTTTACGAAAGTCGTCGTCCAAGATCTCACTGCTCGGGATATAGACGACCATGGTTCGGTAAGATTATGTCTAGGGTATTTCTACACGAATAATTAATAATCATAATCTAATTATCTTACAGTTGTACTCATATATATGCACATCATTGTTTTGTTTGGTTTGATATCCATATACATATATATTTGTTTTCAACTCCTAGCATTATTATATCAAATTGATAATTAGATAGGCCAATATGTTTTGATAAGGTGCATATACAGACACAATGCACATAGAAATTAAGGCTGTGCATTACCGTGTAATGAGGTATCGAGTACACTCCCAGGCATGTTTGTTTGTTTTTGAATTCGTGAATGTTTGTGTTTTTTCTGATTTTTTTTGTTTTTGTTGGTTGCCACCACCATACTACGTGAGATATGTATCTAATGGGGTGTTGCAAGAAAGTTGCGATTGATTGCAAGTTGCGCTTAACTGCAAGTTGCAAAATTTGCAACAGATATTTGCAATCGATTGCAACTCAAAGCTTGCAACGCCCCACTAGTCTCCTAAATTTCCTGGGATTTCGTTAGGATTTAATCTTGAAAAATTAAATTAATTTAACTAGATCTAGCTTTTGTTCATCCCCCCTCTCTCTCTCTCTCTCTCTCTCTCTCCCTCTCTTACTAATGGGACGTTGCAAGAAAGTTGAGTTGCGATCAATTGCAAATTTGCAATTAATCGCAAGAATTGCGCTTGATTTGGGTTATTTGCAATTGATTGCAACTTTCTTGCAACACCCCATAAGTCCGTCTCCGAAAACTCAAGCGATTAAACTTCGAGTTGCAGTTGAAGGCGCCGATTTAATCATAATAATAATAGTAAACAATGCTGTTTTTAAAACCGAAGATGACAGAAAAATCCATTTTCCTCCAAGTCCAAACAGAAATCCGGACATTTGGTCCCAGTTTCTGAGTGGTGAGTTGACAGTGATTGAGCTGGGAAACATTTTTACCCACGGTACAGTATTTTTTTTTTTACACGGCAGCGAGGGGAATTTTTAGATTAATTCCAATGAAACCGCTCGCGAAGAGTCTAGACTAGAACAAATTGGAGTACTAACAGTGCAGTGTATTAGAAAGGGAATTGTACTTAACATGTAGATCTAGAGAAGGAAACGATGAAAGACATCCAAAGGAAAACAAGAAAACAAAATAGATGTCTTATGCAATAAACAGTGACGGCAGTATAATATTATATGCGACACCATGGCGCAGAGAGCGTGAACATAATATACATGCCCTCGGCCACATACCAACAACACAGAGTACGGTACATGGACAACACAAGTCATAATCAGTACAGGCACTACAGACTAGACTCTCCGCGAGCGTTTTCATTGGAATTAATCGAGCTTTTCCCCTCGCTGCCGTGTAAATAAAAAATACGCGGCCTGGACAGTGCCAGACGCTGACAAAAAAAAAAGGCGGCGGAGTATTCTAGTACGAGAAATCGTACTCCAGTAGGCCTTGGGCACTTGTTCAGAAACCTATCCAAAATTTGACCCGTAACTCCGGCGTGGAGATACCCAAGACCTACTAGAGTCTAGACTAGACCCTATACCCAAAATACAGTAAATATTCATTAAATGTCCAAATAAAGATCATGAGTTAAAAATCGTTATGACTGTTTATTATTTGTTTCGTGTCAATTTTCTTGGTTTTTTTTGGAGTATTTTTCAGTTAAACATTGATAAGGTCTATTAGTAAACACCTTTTTACAGGTTTCACGGCAAACCGCTGCACAATTGGTTGCGGGCGGGCACGCGCCTGTGTGAGTTATCTACCATGTCTCAGATCCGGAGTTACGGGTCAAATTTTGAATACGTTTCTGAACAAGCGCCCTGAAATGGCCCCAGTAAGAAGGCTGGTAGGGGTTACATCATTCTGACAAAGATCTTGAATCAAATACCAATGCAAAATGAAATAAAAACAGTACATTATCTAATTATTTTATTAAGTCAAGTGACGAGACCCCAAAACATTGTGTTTCCTAATTAGAGCGCAGTTGCGTTTACCGGTAGGCTACCTCTGTTTGATTATTGGAGGAATTGCTTTGAAAAAAAAAATCATGTTGGGTTTGGTGATCCCATAGTATGCAGTTGCTTCTGCTTTGTTCTAAATGCAATAAGAAGTTTGATCGCGCCATCTCGATTCTTAACATTTCAGGATGGTTTTGGGGCGACCCGCACGTCAATACCCTTGACGGTAGGAAGTACACCTTCAATGGTCTTGGGGAATACACCACGATGTCTTACAGTCATGGTGACCCGTTCATACTGCAATCCAGAACTGGTAAGGCGTTTAACAACAGCATGCCTGTGGAACATGGGACAGTCTTCACAGGGTTCGCTGCAACACAAGACATCACTAAGGTAGGTGGTTCTGCCGGTGTCGCAGGCGATTTGTACTTAATCCCGGCAGAATGAATCTCCTAGCTGGAACTGATGGCATGTACCACCAGCGATAGCCCATCGGTCAGGTGATTCTGTTCTTGCGACAAGTACTTCAGATTTGTTTTCATCAAAGGTGCAGAGTTGTAGTAAGGGTGCAGTGTGCGATTTAGGGTCTAAACTAGGATTTTGGTTACTCTAGGAAATTCTACAGAGCTGCAACAGTCACATGTTGGTAAATCCTTCAGTAACTAAATTTACCAGAATATACATAATTCCTTATAACCTTAAACCAAATCCTAAAGCCTGTTGCACACAGATGACAAAACTCATGCCATCCGCTACTATCTCATTGTCTCCTCTCACCCTTCTCTCCCCTCTCCTTCTACATACATATTTTGTTTAAAGATTGGGTCATTTACTTTGCAAAATGCATACAATACAGCTCTTAGGTCACCATTTGAATTTGTGATAAATACTGTTTAATTTCAATTCAATGTTTGTTTTGCCATATTTGTGATAGGTCGAATTTCAGCTGAATTATAACAGGACAGAAATGAGTATTCTAATTAATGGTACTACCATCAATATGACGGAATTCCTAGAGGGTAAGTTTACATAATTGACTTTTAGATTTAATATAACATCTACAAAAACTTAACCCTATCTAGTCCAGAGGGGGGGGGGGGCTTTAGAATTTTTCGCGATAATTTTTTAACGCAAAAAAATCTTGCACTGATATTTTGTGACTCTTTTCTTTCGAGTCTTGCACATGTTTTGAAAGAAATTTCTCGAAAATCGGACCTACCATTACAAAGTCACGTGTCCTTTTGTCTTTGCATGTCAGCCCGAAAATCGCTCATTTTTGTGATTTGTGTACAAAACATATGGAAATATCATTTTTCAAATAAAGAGATAAAACATTGGTTATTTGGTCTTGTTTATAGTTTAGGTGTTTATTTTGGGGTCAAAATAGTTGAATTATAGTTGGAAATGAAATAAAACAACCAAAACTATGAAATACATAAGTTAAAGAAACAAAGAAATACATGAGAAATTATCAAAACAATAGATAACATAAGGAATAACCCTGCTTTTTCATTTTTTTGTGTTGTATTATTATTCCTAATGGTCTAAAAAATATATGTAGTGAGAAAGAATGCTTAAATATGAATAATGTCTGATTTATGGGCAAAAATGTGAATTTGATGACCTTATTTGCATACATTACCATAAATATGCAAATGAGTGAATTTTTCAAAAAATTAAAATTACCATAGTATTATATACACTTCACTTGACATGTATGCAAATTTTGGCGACGATCGGTCGTTTCACGGCCGAGATCGTAGGGGAGGGTTCTAAAAGCCCCCCCCCCCCCCCCCCGACTATGCAGTTTCAAAATAGCCCGGGCTAAATAGGGTTAAACGAGCAGTGGAGAGGCGATTTGTTTAACTCGTCAAGGCACCATGTTAAAGACAATGTTAAAGTCAATGGAGAAAGCGAGTTGTCAAAAGTCGCCAAATCGCCTTGTTTAAGCCGAGAAGGCAGCTGGTGAGAACTCACCAAGTTGCCTCCTTGCCTTCTCGATTCAAACAAGGTGCCGTGTCAGTTTTAAATACTCGCATTCTCGTCTTAAACATATATCGCCTTGGTGAGTTTTGACAACGTCCCTTCTCGCGATCTAATCCTTAACACATCGCCTTGGCGAGTTAAACAGATCGCCTCATCTATGTTCTGGATGTTCTTAGCGAGGATGTGACAGTCGTTCATTCTTTGAAGCTGTTCCATCGCTGGTACGGAAATGAACATCTCCTAACTGATATCATTATCAACCCAGATTGGTATTTAGAACCCAAATGTATTTTGTTAATGAAATGTAAATGTATTTGTTCACATACAGTACATGAAATTATGGATTTTATTTAATAGTTGATACGGCATTCATCCTATCCGGCTTTGAGCATTTAGGATTAAATTAAAAACAAGTCAAATGGATCCAAAAATGCAGATGCATTCGATCTGGATTATTCAGTTTTCATCCCATCCTCTATCTAAAACATAAATCAAACTACTCTTTCATCTCACATTCAGAGCACTTTTGCTCATTTAATTCAAATTCCATCCTATCCATCTTGGGACTTTGAACTAAATACCAAATGCATCCATTCTCAAAAATATAGATGGTATCGACTCACCGGATTCAACCTTCATCCTATCCGCGGAGAACGACACTGTCTCTGAAGGTGAGATTAAGGTCACAGCGCTGTTCCAACCAGAAGGCTATCCCAGTTCGTCCTTCACCGTGACCTTCAAGAACGGCCTCTTAGATCTGGGTGTCATGGTCCCTTCTGAGTATGCGCAGAACGGAACCGGGAGGGGTCTGCTCGGTAAGGCATTTTTTTTATTTCATCAGATTTTCTTTCTTTATTTCTTTATTATTATTATTCCTATATTTGTTAGGTGGTCTGTCATCGACAGACCACCTATTGATTTTGTCAGAATTTTCTTTGTTTTTTTATTTATTAGGTGGTATGTCATATTCGACAGATCACCTATTGATTTCATCAGAATTGTCTTCTATTTATTTTTATTTATTTCTCCGCATTTGCTTGAACAGTCATAGGTCATTGTCATAAGATGTGTCTCCAACATTTTCAAGTTCATCAGGTCATTGTGACGTCTACCAGGCGCCATTTTGTGAAATTTTCAGAAAATCAAGTCATGACCATATCTTCATTACGGAAAGTCATTTCTCAAACATATTTATCATGATCAAGGTAAATTTCTGTCCGGTCAATTTAAGGTCAATAAACGCCCGCGTCAGTGCTGGACTGCTTGCGAAATGTTGAAATGCTCAAAATCACTTTTTAATCAAATGAATTACGTTTCAGGCAATTTTAAGCATTTCAAAATTTTGCACGCGAGCATCATCATTCGTCATGGCCGTTTGCAACATAGAATCAATTTTTATGCCTCCGCTACGAAGTAGCCGGAGGCATTATGTTTTCTGGTTGTCCATCCGTCCGTACGTCCCGTTCTTGTGATCGCGTTATCTCAAGAACCGATTGATGAATTACCGCCAAACTTGGGTCATGTATGTATCTTGCAGAGCTAATGAAGTGATAAGATTAAGGGGTACGAGGTCAAAGGTCAAAGATCACAGGGTTCATTATGTATGCAAAAATAGTTTGTGATCGCGTTCTCACAAGAACCGATTAATGGATTACCGCCAAACATGGGTCATGTATTTATCTTGCAGAGCCAATGAACTGATAAGATTTTACTGTCATGAGGTCAAAGTTCAAAGGGTCATACACGTATATGAAAATAGCTTTTATTCACAATATTCTGAGAATGGATTACACTCAAATTTGAATTTTTAAACTAGCTTCTGTTTTTGTTTGTAAAATCGCTCTTTGCCGGAGGCATCATTTTGACTGCTTGCAGTCGAACATCCATAGGGTTCTTCATATTTGAATAGAGTATGAGTCAGCAATATAATTTCATGTCTAATTTCGCTATTAAGTATATCATGACATAATATTGGCCTTGGAACTCAAAATATGAATTTGCATATTATGATGTCAGCATATTTATGGAAAATTGATTATATTGATTGGGATCATGTCGAAATGTTTAATTGAAAGTTGAAATTGCGACTATGCCAAGGCCGTTTGTCAGCTTTGCATGTAAAGTATATGGGAAATATTTTGGTCTATTTGTTAAAACACTTGCCTCCCGTTCTGGCGACCCACGTTCAATTTCCAGTGGCTCAATTTTCCCTTTTAATTTTGTTGCTGTCATTTCATATTTGATTTTATCACCTTCTTCAACAATTATAACATATCATATACAATCACCAAAAATATGATAAAATGCCTAATTTGGCGTGTTATATTTATCGGAGAGGAATGTCAATAGTTTGCGTACATGGGAAATCTGATTCCTTGTAGTGTATTAAACCTATATAGGGTTAATCTTAAAGTCTGCTACAATATCAAATAGTCTTATTTCTATGATGCTAGCCTCCTTCCCAGACGTTTTTTATTTTCCATTTATTCAGCCTTCAGGTATATATTTTATTTATGCTGGAAATATTGAATGCCTTATTCTCAATGCATCTCTCTCTCTCAGTGGCGGATCCAGGGGGGGGGGGGGGCCCGGGCCCCCCCCCCCCCCTTGAGAAAAAAATCATGTTAAATCACGTGATTTTTACCTTTTTGGGGGTTGGGGCCCCCCCCCCCCCTGACGCTCAAGGGGGGGGGGTGCAAATCGAATTTTTTTTGAGGATCAAAAAAAAAAAAATGTGCTCACTGTAATATGTGATCTTATACATTGACTCAATGCTACATGCTATACACACATACACACAGTTAATGTACACTGTGGTGTATGGGCTCTTCTATACACAATATAACCAGTCATGCTGGATTGCAACTTCACTCTGATGTTTCTCTATGTGTCTTCATTTGAGTACTAACCATACAGCTAAACAACCCCACATTATATGGTGGCAGCGATATAGAACCTACTTGACAATATTTGTGAACTTTGCGTCATTTTGGAGAGATTTTGGAGGCCATCTTACTGACACACTGTCATGGGATCAACAGGTGCTCCTTTCTACAGTCCCATATGGTGGTTTTACTGTAAGTAAAATGTGCATTGATATTTGCATTGCTATTGGAGTTTGAGTAGCTGGTATGAACTATGAATGAATCATTTACACCCCGCATGAATTGGGAGGACCCCGACAGAGCCAATGCTGTTAAGATTTTTCATCAGCAGTGTGACTTATACTTCTCAGTCAAGAATGTTGCGATTGCTAAGCAAGTGGATCATGTTCTTTTGTTCACTGGTGCCACGGGTATCAAGCTTTACAACTCGTGGGGTCTGGAAGGTGAAGATAAGAAGAATCCAACTGTTGTTTGGGAGAAGTTCGAGACACAACTGCGGCCAAGGGCAAATTTCCGTGTAGCCAGGCTATACCTTCAGAAATATGTGCAGAAGGAGAGGGAAAGTGCAGATGATTATATCTCGCGCCTGAAGCTGCAGGCATATGACTGTGAATTTCGTGATGACACTGAGCTCCAAGAACGCATCATTGAGCAGTTCATCACAGGCACTAGATATCCTGAGCTCCAGAAAGATCTTCTAGGGAAGAACAAGTCCCTCACTCTTACACAGATGCTTGAGCTGAGTAGAACATTTGAAGCATCGCAGATGCACATGGCTCAACTAGCGCAAGTACAGACACATATTCAGCCTGCATCGATTGATGTAGTTCGTCGGAAGACTAACACTAGTAACAAGTGTCCTAATTGTGGTGGTAATCATGCTCGCAGTCCACGGGAAGCATGTCCGGCTTATGGCACCAAGTGTAACAGCTGTGGCAAGCTGAATCACTGGAGGAGTGTTTGTCGGTCTCCAGCTCCAAGTACACAGTGGTCTGGGAGATCTCCAGCTTCAAGTACCCAGAAGTGGAAGTCAGACGGGATGAGAGAACCATAATGAAACTGCGTTCGAAGGTTGACTCCGGTGCGGAGGGCAACACACTTCCTCTTCGGATGTTTCGTGGGATGTATCCTGGCCATCTCACTAAGGATGGAGTTCCTCACCCTCAATCAGTGCATAATTCAAGTGCACGGTTGTTTGCTTACAACGAAACACCAGTGATGCACTTCGGTTCGGTTCGGCTGCCCTGTCGTTTCAACAACTCAACTTGGCTTTATGCTACATTCTACATCGTTGAGTCCAGGGGTCCAGCGATTATCGGATGTGACACAGGCTTGAAACTGAAGCTGCTTACTCTACACACACGCATCAACGAGATCAAGCATTCAGCACAGATAAGCTCTACTGATGACCTAGTAAGGCAGTATCCAGACCAGTTTGACAAAATTGGCAACTTCCCAGGAGAATATCATATTGTTCTTGATCCAGACGTTCAGCCTGTTGTCCATGCTCCTAGACGGTGCCCAATCCACCTACGAGATGAACTGAAGCGTGAGTTTGATGACATGGAAGGTAATGGCGTGATCACTAAAGTCATTGAGCCTTCAGCATGGGTCAGCAGCATCGCTGTTTCAAGGAAGTCGAATGGCAAACTCCGTGTCTGCTTGGATCCCAAGGATCTCAACCGAGCTATTCGACGTTGCCATTATCGCACTATCACGACAGATGAAGTGATACACAAGCTATCAGGTGCTCGACACTTCAGCAAACTCGATGCCAAGAACAGTTATTGGTCTATCAAGCTCGACCATGACAGTTCACTTCTGACTACCTTCAACAGTCCCTTTGGACGGTACAGATATCTCAGGATGCCTTTCGGTCTAGCAATGTCTCAGGATGTATTCCAGCAGCGAATGGACGAAATCCTCGAAGGTTGCCCCGGCACAATAGGGATCGCTGACGATATTGTTGTGTTCGGCAAGAGTGAAGCAGAGCACGATCAGAATCTGCACCACCTCATGTCCAAAGCTGTGAAGTACGGTCTGCAGTTCAACAGTGGCAAGTGCAGCATCAAGGTCAACCAGATTTCCTTCTTCGGTATGATCTACGATGCAGATGGCGTCCATCCGGATCCTCACAAGGTCGAGGCAATCAAGTCAATGTCTCCACCTGAGAACAAGAGCCAGCTTCGTGAGTTCCTTGGTATGATAACCTACCTTAGCCCATTCATACCAAATCTTTCAGCCCAGACTGCAAGCCTACGTGGTCTTTTGAAGCAGGACGCTGAATTCCAATGGACTCCAACGCACCAGTCTGCCTTCAATGATTTACGTGACAAGGTATGTCACGATGCAACTCGGGCGTATTTCGATGTTAACAAGCCTACGGTACTGCAGGTAGATGCTTCTCTGCAGGGCTTGGGAGCGACTCTACTGCAGGATGGAAGGGTATCGCGTTTGCATCAAAGGCCCTCAGTGATGCAGAGACGAGGTACGCCAACATAGAGCGAGAGCTGCTTGCAGTGGTCTTCGGCTGTGAACGATTCCACATCTTCCTGTACGGGAAAAGTTTCATAGTTGAGACGGACCACAAGCCCCTGGAGATGATCCAGCATAAGCACCTGGCAGCGGCTCCACCTAGACTCCAGCGTATGCTCCTTCGTCTACAGCCATACAAGCTGACAATTGTCTACAAGCCTGGTAAGGATGTACCAGTAGCTGACTGCCTATCCAGACGTCCTCTTGGTCCTCCAGAACACATCCACCTTGACCTGCAAATCAACTTTGTACAGTTTGCTCCAGACCGTTTGAGTCAGTTGAAGGAGGAAACAGCCAAGAATGCAGAGTTTGCAGCACTACAGACGGTGATTGTGAAAGGGTGGCCAGAGAAGAGACGTGAGCTACCACGGCAGCTGCAGAGATACTGGGCCTTTCGAGATCAACTTGCAGTTGAGGATGGACTGATCCTGAATGGTGAACGAATCCTTATTCCACACTCCATGAGGGAGTACATACTGAGCAAGCTCCACGAAGGTCATCAAGGTATCGAGAAGACACGACTTCGGGCTAAGGCTTCTGTGTACTGGGAATCAATCAATGACGATATCGAGGTCCTGGTGAAAGGCTGCTCAGTCTGCCAAGAGTACAAGCCCTCGCAGCCCCATGAGACTCTTCTCCAGCACGAGATACCTACACGATCCTGGCAAGTCTTAGGTACAGACTTATTTCACTTTGAAGGGAACAATTATCTCATCATTGCAGATTACTTCTCGAAATTCCCTTTCATCCGGAAAATGCCTCAAGAGTGTACCAGTGCTGCAGTAGTCAATGCGACCCGTCAGGTGTTCGCAGAACAAGGAGTTCCAGAAAGAATCGTTAGCGACAACGGAAGACATTTTGACTCCTCAACATACAGAGACTTTGCTACACAGTGGGGATTCAGCCATGTTACATCCTCTCCCCACTACCCCAGGTCAAATGGCTTCATTGAGCGAATGATTCAAACTGTCAAGAATACGCTCAAGAAAGCTAAAGTGAGTGGTATCGACCCCAACATGGCTCTACTATGTATCCGTGCCACTCCAATTGACAGCCGCATACCAAGCCCAGCTGAGCTTCTTTACGGGAGGAAGATGAAGGACAACTTACCAACTCGAATCCGCAACAACTCCCCTGGTCGTGATGATGTTAACAATCGTATGCAGCTTCGACAGCAGAGCCAGAAGTATCATCACGACAAATCAGCCCATGACCTAGCACCACTCTCACCTGGGCAGCTTGTGAGAGTCCAAGACCAGACATCACGTCACTGGATAACAGCTACTGTTCGTGAGCAATGCCATGAGCCTAGGTCATATCTCGTCGAGACGCCTAATGGAAGGGTGCTACGCAGAAACCGGCAACACCTCGCTGATATTGAGCCCAGGCGTATCCATCATGATGAGGAGGTAACCAAGACACCCGATCCTCATACACGCGAAGAGATGACGCTTGATCCAACGCCCGACATCAGAGGTTCTTCTGCCCCAAACCCTGCCCCAAACCCTGTCCCAATCCCCAACCACCAGCAGACCACCCGCAGTGGCCGGGTAATCAAGAAGCCAGAAAAATTGACTTATTGATAGGACTTAATCTTTGGATACTTCAAGTTTGGACATTATGGACTCAGTTTATTGTTCTGTAAGGGGGATGTAATATGTGATCTTATACATTGACTCAATGCTACATGCTATACACACATACACACAGTTAATGTACACTGTGGTGTATGGGCTCTTCTATACACAATATAACCAGTCATGCTGGATTGCAACTTCACTCTGATGTTTCTCTATGTGTCTTCATTTGAGTACTAACCATACAGCTAAACAACCCCACATTATACTCACTACCCCCCCCCCCCCCCCCCCCCCCACTGAACGAATTTTTGGCCGGCGCGTTTTTCAAATTTCCGGGAGCAAAAAAAAAATAAAAAAATAAAAATAAAAATTGTGCTCTGTACCCCCCCCCCCCCCCCCCCCCCCCCCCCCCCCCCCCCCCCACTGAACGAATTTTTGGCCGGCGCGTTTTTCAAATTTTCGGGAGCAAAAAAAAAAAAAGTTGGGCCCCCTCCCCTTAGAAATCCTGGATCCGCGCCTGCTCTCTCTCTCTATCTCCCTCTCTCTGTCACCCTCTCCCTCTCTCTGTCACCCTCTCCCTCTCTTGCTCTGCCCCCTCTTCTCTTGCTCTCTCTCTCTCTCCCTCTGTCTCTGCCTCTTTTTCTCTCTCCATCTCTCCGTTAACAACAAAGATCCTTTGAAAAAAACAGGCAGACCACCTCATTCGTCTTCAAGGGACAAATTCTGATATCATTTATATTGCTTCTCTCCACCCAGGCGCGATGGCTCTGTGGTAGAGCAGTGGTCTCGTAAAGGGCAGGGCCGCGATTCGAAACCAATTGATGCGCTATAGTGCCGTTTAGTATGGCATTAATCTTCATTACCTCACTGTAGGTCCCTCAGGTAGGACTAATAGCCATTGATACCCTGGATGCTTGCAAGCGTACACTTGCTTTCTTAGCATGGGTACCCGGTATGATTAGAAAGTCATCGCTGTTGACTCAGCATTGTGAACGTCTGTAAAATACGACCTCAATCGTTATATCTTTCAAGCGCTTTCGTTAGGTATATGTAAAGGGCGTCTCTATATTTTTATAGGGAAAAATTGCAGAGAAATCTACTTCACAAGTAACTCTAAGCCTTTCCCTAATCTCATACCCTAACATTGTACTGCTTCTAACATTGCCTCTAACCCTAATCCGAAAGTCCATTTATCTGTTTTTCAATATGGGTGTCAGAAAACTTTGCTGTACGTTTTCAACATGCAATACCAAAAGGTCCTCAGAATGATTTCAGTTTTAAGGTTTTACAAATTGAAACAATGAAAAAAAAAAAAAATGTGATACTTTTTTTCTTTGTGTTGAAACAGGTAATGTAAATGGGAACAAATCAGATGATTTTCTGCTCAGAAATGGAACATTATTAATGGATCTGCCTGAGAGAAATTTAACAGACAGAGACATATTTCAGTTTGGACAGTCATGTAAGTATTCAAAAGAGTTTTATTGCCATACCATGTCTTAATGTTTATTGAGATCAATCCTAAATGTATTCAATATTATAAACTCAGTGTTTGTTGTGTGTTTTTTATTGTTGAGTAACAATTTGAGGCAGCATTTTGTCAGCGTGCCTTTTATCATTTGTATTTCTTTATCCTATTGTAGTATACAATTTATAAAGAGTACAGTGTGCTTTTTTAATGATTTTGTTTCACTATAAATGCTAAAATATATGTAGGACAGACTTCTCACACTTGTGGGCATGGTCTAGTGTATAGGGTGTAATGTATAAATCTCTCTCTTACAGTAATGAATTCATATTAACAGGGAATCAAAAGTAAAATAATTCAGGAGTATTTACGTAGAAAGCTCATTGTGTTGGCGTGAGCTGTTTCTTTTAAATAATGAATTTACCTCTAAACCTTTTTGCCCCCCCCCCCCCTCCAATTTTAAAATTATTTCATACATGTATTGTAGGTTTTTTGTCTTTATATTGTGTTTATCGCTGTATTTTATGATATCTTTAACTGATATATACTCAGTAATATAAATAATATAAATTATAATATTCGGGGAACTCTTTATTCAAGGCCACCATGGGCTTTTCCTTTGTTCTTCTATTTTATTTGAAGCTATTGTATTAACTGCACATTCTTTGTATATATACTTTTATGTTTATTTGCATTTGCTGTGTTTTTCATGAAAATTAAATGAATAAACGAACTCAAACTCAAACTCGAATAACACTATTTTGGGGGGATTCGTATCCAGTAGGACTTTAAATTGTGCATGATATTCTCCATCTAACTGATTAGATGGGCAGTAAAGAGAAAGGAAAACGAAAGGAACACCAAGGAAGAGGTTGATAGATTTTCTTTAGGAAGACGGTAGAGAAATTCATCTGATGATGATTGTGATGATCATGATGATGATGATGATGATGATTGTGATAATGATGATGATAATGATAATAATGATGATGATGTTAATGATGATGGTGATGATGTAGATTCTCCAGTCATGTAAGGAATACTGTATCTTCACTAATCTCCCATGAACTATTTGTTAACATTGATTTTGTTACTTCTCAGGGATGATCAGTGAAAACGAATCGCTGTTTGAATACGACGATGGGAATTGGAGTTACTACAATCCTAGCGACTACAAACCAATGTTCTTAGACGAGCTGCTCGCTCTCGACAACGACCGAACCGAGGCGGCAAGAGAGGCTTGCGGGGAGGACGAGGCGTGCCTGTTCGACTACCTCGCCGTGAGTCCTGAGATGGGTCAACAAACTATGACCACAGGGAACCAACTCGACAATGACCTCCTAAACCTTGGTGAGATGTGGCAATAGGCTGCACCGTTTTGATACTTTTGGGGGAGATCAGGAGATGTTTCGTAATCAACCCTGTTAGAATGCATGAAATTGTCACAATGGCTCAGTGGTAGAGCAGTGGTCTCGTAGCCGGGAGGTCCGGGGTTTGAAACCAAGTCGATGGCGCTAGTGCCCTTTGGTAAGGCATTAACCCTCATTACTAGGTCCACCTGAGAGGATTTAAAGCTGTTGGTCCCCTGATTGCTTACTAACAAGCATACACATGCTTTCGGCTTAGCAGTCATGTAAAACAAACAAACAAATGAGCAATTATCTCATAGAATATGAGACCAAGTCAGTGTGTTTAGAACACCGTGGCCAACCTTTTAAAGCTCGCGGGCCACAGTTAACGATCGACATAACCTGGCGGGCCGCAGGTAGTCTCCCCACCCCACCCCCCCCCCCCCCCTCTCAGGGTACTCAGATTTGGGTTGGACGGGGGTGTGCCGCTCAAGCCCCGAAACCCCTACCCATTCTTAGGAGTCATTAGTCTCGAAAAAATACAAATTTTTCACAATTTTCAGGTATTTTTCGGAATGTTTAAGGGCAAACACCCGAAAATTTTGAAAAAGGGACCCATTTTTAATGGTATTTTTGTTAAAAGGATTTTTTGTGAAAAAGTAACACGTTAGAGCGGCACGCCCCCGTATGTCCTCATGTGTGAGTACCCCCCCCCCCCCCAACACACACACACACACACACTCGCTCATGCAATATGTGTACACACACCTGCAATTTTCCAATAACAAACAAGCAAACAACAAAATCAGTGGGGAAAAAATCAGGCTTACTTTTTTAGTTTGATTTCGTGGTGACAAGTGAGCTAAAGTAGTTAACCTTTCTCTTCCTTGAAGAAATACTTCAGAGACCAATATGATTTAAAATTTCTGCCTTCATCAAAGACTTTCCTTTTCTTCGCAGGTCGATACCATTTTTGGTTGTTATTTCAAATAAAATCAAGGACACAGCGTAAAGAATATCCTAACTTTATTATTTGAACACTGTACATCTCATTGTACGCGGTGTATAGGGGAGGGGACTATCCAGTTTACTATTAAGATTCATGAGAAAATTCAACGGCGGGAGAAAAGGGTTGTAAGTTTCAAAACAAGTATGGCATTTCAAACATATTTCTTGATTCACAACATTTGTATATTTACAAACGTTACTGCATGCAAAAATTACAAACTTAAATAAACACGCGAGTGAAGTAAATGTCGTTATTGTAATGAAATGAGAGGGAATTTGAGGAGTTTTGTATCAACCACGTAACGAGTCAATATAACATCTTGTGAATGATGAAAACAAATTAAGAAAATAGAGATAGCTGTGTGTAAATGTTTTACCCTATTTCATCGCTGCTATGCAGCCCGCATTTCTTTTATGAACTATTTTTTTATAATTACTTTCTCAATGCTTCGCGGGCCTTTTGCCCCGAGTTATTCTTTTTTTCCCTTCTTAATCGTGACATATTAATTGATTAAAATATGGCTGCATTTTTGTTATACTTTTTAAATCCTATAGATAATTTTCCTCCGAACGTAACCAACGTGGTAGAGACTAGCGAGACAGATGCTTTACAAGAAGGGGAGGTTCTCTTCATGCAAGTGGGCGTGACCGTTACCTTGGAGATTTCTGCACATGACCCTAACGAAGATGATGAGGTATTCTTTACTTTCAACGATACAGCACCAGATGGCGCCAATATCAGCTCAGGTATGAACAAAAGAATTGCTTATGAACTTGTTTTTAAAATATCATAACAAATTATACTCTTTAAGATGATAGATCAGACTGATTATTTGTCAAACGATGAATCGCAATGCTAAATATGCAGATTGATCTTTTGATGAGTGCACCTTATACTGATCTCTCCTTTCCCTTTCCCCCTTCCGTCTCCTTATCTTTCTGATGCCTTCTCTCCTTAATTCACTTTCTTTGTGACTCCTCTCTGCCTCTCTCCTCCCTCTCATCCCACTCACTGTTTCCCCTCTCTCTGTTTCCCTCATAAAGATGGTATCTTGACCTGGACACCACCTGACCTGAATGTATCATCCATCGAAATCATTGTGATGGACAACCGAGGAGCAGAGACATCGCTGGCATACAGGGTCTTGATCTGCCGATGTGAGAACGAAGGCGTGTGTGACTTCGACAACCAAGCTGAGGGGCAGGATCTAAATGCCAACGGATTTGCGGTGAGTATATTGGTATAGCCTTTAGTTATACAACACATGCTCTGATTATTATGGAAGAAATATATTATCACTATATTTAATTACGTGTGGTAAATTCCCTATTAAACCCACTCCCCTCCCTTCTGAGCAAATCTACAAGTTGTTATGGCGTGAGGGGTTCAAATGAACTATCTGACCACTAAAACATAAACTCAGGTTATTGTGAAAATGAGGTAAAAAGGTACTGCACTTATAAATCCACGACCTGGACTATTTCCAAGTCACACCCCAATCACCTGACAAAATAACACACCCTCAACACTATAACAGGGACAATCCTAATTGCTTTTCGTGTTTCAACGGGTGAATTTCGCACAATCAGTGTGGGATGCGTGTAATGGAGGAGGAAAAAGATGATTGAAAAATACAAATATATAAAAATGGACAAAATCTGGACTAGACTTATACCATGCTTGGCTGTTTTGATCAATTTCCCCTTCACCGAATCTGGCTCCGTTTTCATATACATATACATATACATTCATTTACATATACATGATAAGCATGAATGTACTCATAACAATGTATTTACAGGTGGTCATGTGCAACTGTTCTGGTGGTTGGTCGGGTGATCATTGTGATGTAGACTATGATTCATGTGAGGGTATGCCCTGCTACGAGGGGGTTATCTGCTTCGATGAGCCCCCGTCTTCAGACGAAGAGTACACATGCGGCCCTTGTCCACCCGAGCTCTCAGGCGATGGTACCACTTGCTTTGGTGAGCTTGTTTTAAAGGGGCCAATCATACATATTCTTCTTTCTCCCCCTTTCTTTTCTTGCTGTGAATGTTGTGTTTTATGGGTATACTATATTTAAAAGTTTGGCTTTCAACACTACCTTTGTAAAGAGATATTACAAATAAAATGTTCTCATAGTGAAGGTACACAAGCAACTTGTGAGTAGACTGCTCGACCCAAATGCTAATATTTCACTGTAATCTTAATAGAAGCCACTAAACTGTAGAAGAATGCATTTAGAAGACATTTTAATAGTAAGTTAGTTTAAATAAATTTGATTTAAATTCAATCATACTCAGTAAAAATTATTGTGTTGGTTTCTTTTTCACGAGTTTAGCAGCGAATGTTGGACATTATCTCCTTCTGTCAAATGCAAAGGCATTGTATGATACGGATTATTCAAGTAGGGGATAAGCCATTTTCATATCAATTGTCCTTAAGTCTGGTTCATCTCATCTTTTACCATGTCTCTTTTTAGATTTCAATGAATGTGCTGATAACGATACGAATGACTGTGAACAGAATTGTGAAAACAATCTAGGTTCTTACACGTGTTCGTGTAACACCGGTTATATGCTTGCCATCGATCAACGTTCCTGTGACGGTAAGTAAACAAACAACTGCAAAATAATGATACTTAAGGGTGGCAGTGGGGTAATATATCGTGTTATCACGCACCCTATATTGATTAAGAATATCTTGTCAAACATAGAAGCTACCCCCTATAAACTATATACTGTTTGAAAGCTTTTACTCTGAAGAATAAGATAACAACCACAAAGCCATTCAACTTAGGCGAGGCGTCAAAAATATCGATACCAGCAGGCTGCCGCCTCACGTATTGGCGCATCGAGGCTGCAATTACGGCCGAAGCCTGGCTGGGGCAATTATTTTTCACTTATTAGCCCAGCCGGCTTGCGCCAGGCTGGGATCTGAGGCTCGGTTTCCATTCGAAAGGCGGTAGCCGGCGCATGCTTTTGAATGCCATTTCCTACCGCCAGCGGTAGCCGGCTGAGCTGATTTAAAAAATGCAGCCAGAACGCACAAGTGCAGTTAGCTGCCGCTGGCTGGTATATTTATTTTTGACGCCTCGCCTTATAATAAAAGTGGAATGAGAGATTTCCAAACAAAACAATTAGAGATTTTTCAGAAATAAAAACTGCAACCACTACTACTCAGAAGTGTACAGGTATATCACTTGTTGGATTTAAAGGTAGATAGTATGTTTATATAACTTGAATTTAATGATGGCTTTTTGAAAAAATTCTGCTGTTTTTACAGTGAGATAAAAGTGATTTGAAAAATCAGAAAACCTCATGAAAAATCAGAAAACCTCATGAAAAACAGAAATATTTTTGTTTACCATATAGGTACTCTTAAAAACTATCAACACATTTTTCTCCTTGAAATAAACATTTCCTCCAAATTTGAACAAAATTGAATGAATAGTTTTTAAGTTATAGCATTTTAAATTTGAAAATGATAAATGTTGGCGTTAAAATGTATGAAGAATATCAGTAGGTGTGCACTAAATATTCCATGGAAAAGAAAATTTGTTGCTTCTCCTAAATGATGACTGGAGAAGAAAGTGAAGCAGAAGTTAATATGTTTAGGAATTAAATGCTCACTTGATGCCTGTTTCAAAGATATTAGATGATAATGAATTAGTCATTGTACATTCCGGATCCATAACCACATCCATATTTGAGTAAATATTTCAACTTCCGGTTGATATAGTGCTTGACATCAATTACTTAATCCTTAATTAGACAAAGAAATACCTGTATACCTGTATCCCATAACATTGGTATTTTGAAAGCTTCCACTTCATACTAAACCAGGAAATGTAAAACTCTTTTTTTTTCTCATTTAATACCCCACTGCCTCCCTTAACCAGTATTTTGGACCATGTAAAGAGAGAAACAAACATAAAAATAATTCCTGACAAACAATCTCTGAAAAGTAAATAATTATAAGAGAAACAAGGCTGATGGTAAGGGTGTGGGCCCGTGTGTGTGTATGCGTGCGTGTATATGATATTTACCTGTTGTCCTAGGATTTTTTGGAACAGTCGCTCTCATAAAAACAAGTTTCTTAAATTTAAAAAAGTTGTCTTCCGGACAAAGGTTTATAATAGCATGTTTAAAGGGAAAGTTTACCCTGATATTAAGTTGGTTTTAATATAAGCAGAACAATGAAAGATATTCGTAAGTGAAAGTTTGAGCCAATAACCGGCAACTCTGTGACGTATCTTGCAAGGTCCCCTCCCATTCGCCATATGCTAAACAACTTCAATAAATTATATTTCCCTGAAGTAAATTTTTGATCATACATTCAGCCTAAATGTAATTCTGATTTTAATAAAAACTAACTTAATTTCAAGGTGGACTTCCCAACTCCATTTGTCAGAGGGAAGTAAGCATACGACCTAATTGATAATTCATCATTTCTTGTAACATTAACCGTAATCCTAATCTTTACCCAAATCTTAACTGTAAACCTACCCCTAACTTATCAATAGTCAAAACATTTTTGAACCACAACTTGAATACAAATCAACATAAACATATCATGGATTAACATTTACTGAATATATCATAAAGAAATTTCTCCATTGATTGACTGATTAAATGATTGGTTCATTTTTTAAAATTATAAGTGTGTTTACTTTATGGAATATGTGAGAGAGAGAGAGGATAACCCATTAAAGGTGATAATTGGTTTATTTCCAATAACCATTAGTATTGCATATGTTAGGAGAAATTTTAATGGAGCTTTAACATAAAAGTTTTTCTTCATGACATTTTTATATTTCAATACCAAAATTTTGTTTCATCTTATCACAGAGATAAGTGAATGTGATGAGGCCCTGATGGATTCCACTGCATTGAATTTAATGATGGCTTTTTGAAAAATTCTGCTGTTTTTACAGTGAGATAAAAGTGATTTGAAAAATCAGAAAACCTCATGAAAAATCAGAAAACCTCATGAAAAACAGAAATATTTTTGTTTACCGTATAGGTACTCTTAAAAACTATCAACACATTTTTCTCCTTGAAATAAACATTTCCTCCAAATTTGAACAAAATTGAATGAATAGTTTTTAAGTTATAGCATTTTAAATTTGATTGACTGATTAAATGATTGGTTCATTTTTTAAAATTATAAGTGTGTTTACTTTATGGAATATGTGAGAGAGAGAGAGGATAACCCATTAAAGGTGATAATTGGTTTATTTCCAATAACCATTAGTATTGCATATGTTAGGAGAAATTTTAATGGAGCTTTAACATAAAAGTTTTTCTTCATGACATTTTTATATTTCAATACCAAAATTTTGTTTCATCTTATCACAGAGATAAGTGAATGTGATGAGGCCCTGATGGATTCCACTGCATCTGTCAACTGCACATGCGAGCCTGGTTTTCAACTTGAAAATGGAACGTGTTCAGGTATGTTAGACAGGCCGTACCAGGATTCCAAGGGGAGCAACATGAGGTCAAGGATTATTTTTATAAATGGGGGTGGAGGTCCATAACAGATATGTGTCATGTTTTACCAGCCCTTCTAAACCTGGGTGAGGACAGACAAAAAAAAATATTTTGACTATGGTAGTTATAATTGTTATAACTGGCCATTAAAACAAGGAAGAGTGATGATTATAATCTGTAATCTTGTACTGACATGCAAACGAAACAAATTTCCAATCATTGGACAATAAATTTTGAATTGAATTGAATTGAGAGGCGGAGAGAGAGAGAGAGAGAGAGGGAGAGAGAATTTTAACAATGTGATAGAGCATTACAAATAAAAAGATTCTCCTTACAATATCCTTGAATTTAACAAATGATAAGTTCTCATTAAACCCAGTTCTATGACAACGACTTGTTAATATCAGATCTGCTTTCAACTGTTATGCCATTTTTATTTATAATTTTGACTTCAATTCTGTTATTTGACAAAGATTTCTTGTTACTCATCAGATTTTGATGAATGTGCATCTGATGTGGACCTATGCCCGCGTGATATATCAATCTGTTTCAACCTGCCTGGAGACTACAACTGCACCTGTCATTCAGGATACGACAATTCATCCCCTAAAGAGTGTCAAGGTATGAACTAGTAGCAGCTCAGTGGGGGAGGGGGGGTTCAGTTCCCTCTACAAAAATGCTTCAAGGCCCCTATTCTTGAATACTTTTGAATCTAAGCGATGCAATCAAAGCAAGATCCTCAAGACCCCAAGCCCCCAACCTCTAATAATATGTTTATTTACAATTCAATTTAATTGTAATTTAATACCACAAAAAAAACATACATACATAGCACTATAATTGTTAATAGATTACACAAAATAGAATACATGTCGGCCTGTCTACATTGGTACAACAATATAAAAGTTGCTTAGCAGATAGCGTGACCCTAATAAGTGGCCGGCCTAAAGATTATAATTAAAAGATAATTATCAGTACCAAGGATATGACAAAATACAACAACACAGGTTCAAAATATATATAACACAGTGCCTGGCATTTAATATTCCAGATAAATGGGAAGCGAATTCCAAATGATAGGTGCTTGGTACATAAAAGATTTTTGAGAAAAATGAATACACATATGTATAATTATAATAGCCGTGCCTGGTATTAACTTAATTAAAAACTCAGATTTTAAGTAATAAATAAGCCCAAGACAAAACATTTTTATTTATCACACCGCTTGTAAGTGAGCGTTTTAGTGAGGGAGAGACAATAGAGTAGAAGGTGAAAGAGAGAGTGAGACTGTGAGAATGAGATGGAGAGTCACAGAGAGAAAGAGAGGGAAGGATAAGGTGGGGGAGAAAATGTAGGTCACACATTGTGGTATGTGATCAGGTAGCAGAATGACACGAGAGGTTCACAGATTGTAACATTGCCAGATATGTGTGAGCATGGTGGAATATGTCAGAGCGTGAAAATAAAAAAGGAAAAAAACAGAAAAGATAAAAAAAAAAGGGAATAGTCATTGAATTTTCCATACAGGTTATAGGTTCATTTTAAAATAATTGATAGCTACCTTAATCCCTTAAACAAACTTTTCCTTTCATGTTAAAGCTGATATTCTAAGCAAATAAATGTCCCTTTATTTGGTACTTACGGCAAGCATATGTTATTTATAAGTTTTTCAATTACATAGTATATCACTAACAAATTCTGGCTACTCGAAATCCTTAATTGAAATGTCGGAAATATCCGCCTCTCTTTGCATAGAAAATCAGTCGCAGCGCTGGTATACTATATATATATATATATGACATCACGTCCGGAAAAAGAGTATATTCACGTACCCGGATGTGCCATAGAAAGCATGTGCAGAGACTCAGAGAGATACGATTTTCTGCTTTATTTTGTTTCAAAGGCTGAAAAGTCTAATAAATCATAATTCTATGTACAATTCTTTACCTTCCCTTAATATTTCATAGTATTAATATCAATTCCCCTTTTAAAAATTATTACATATACATGCCAACGATGTGCTATATTAGTCGATATTTTCACCATGTAATTTTTGTTTTGGTGTTGATTGTTGAAATCGGCCCAGGCACGGAGTGAACTGTAGCGCTGTCTGGTAAGTGGACTGATGCACAGTTCATTACCATACAGCGATATCCCGATGGTTTCTCCTTCCCTTTTCCCATGTCTTTCGCCTTCCTTGGCCCTGAAAATCCTTCATCTTCTTCCATGCTGTGCATTGTGCGATCTACCAATTATGACACCCTTAGTCACTGAGGAGCAGGTCTTTGTTAGTTGTTTTTCTTAGATGGTAACGTCGCTTTCATTCTCTTGCAATTGATGATAAACATAACTAGCGCACGTACGTTCCATCACAAGCAAGCCGCTCCTAGAGCAGCGGCCTGGTCTTACCTCCCGATTCTGCTCGCTTCACGAACGTTCGTGCAAGAGCCGCATCACTCGCGGATGACTATCGTTCGATCATTAGACGTTGTCAAAATATTATAGAGGAAGCGCGCTTGCATGATCTCGTTCAAGTTTGATATTTACAACATAAAATGTTTAACTGGTACTGTATCCTTTTTTGAGGCAGTCACACACATCTATGATAAGTACTATCATAGTTCTAGGCCTATTCGTTTTACAAAACTGCTCCTGTACCCTATCTGATGACAAGATAATGCATCCGCCTTTTCATACGTGCATGATTTACCTTATTTCCCAAGCAGTAAACTCGTCTGAAATCTCTATAAAAGGTGAATATGAGGATATAAAAAGAAATCAGCGACTGGAAAATGATGCTTCGTTATTCTTCATTCATCGGTCAAATGAAAACAGAAAATCCATCAAATATACCGGTACTCATTAACAACAACAAATCTAAGCTCTGACAGGATAGCATTTACGTAGATATATTATTGCCATTCACTCTCACTGAGCCCATGAGTCCTGTTCGTGACGTCACGGATAGAGGCCCGACTCTACATGCACTTCCGGGTTTCAGACTTAGATAGTTTGGTAGAGTTTACTCGCATAAAGTCACCATTCTAAACTTGTTTTTGTCAGTTGGACACCATTTAGTGTTATTCTGGAGGTTAAAAGCTTTCTATTGATGTAATTATCTTAATATTTGCGATTGTCTAATATCAACTTTAATGCTTCCTGTAACATGTCATCTCTCTCGTTCAATATACAACCTTGTTCTCCCTTTGTGCCCTTTTAAACAGATATCGATGAATGTGAATCGCGCACGGATGACTGCGAGTCCAGCCTACATCGTGTTTGCAGGAACACACCCGGTAACTTCTCGTGCGTGTGCAGTGAGAACACAGCAGAAATCAATGGAACCTGCCAAAGTATGAATCTATTTAGTTTGTTTTCTCAATGACCGGCTGGTACGAAATTACTGTGAAATATGTTTCGTATTTGGCAACATTTTGTATGCCCTGTATTCGGACTGAAAATTTTGATTCCCAATTTAGAGGGCAGATCCAAAATTAAAAAAATTATAACTCCCGTATAAGGCAACATAATTCGATGGGAACTGTCAAAGTATGAATCCCTTTTGTATTTGTTTTCCTCTCAGTTAAATCAAGCAATTTAAAATATTTGGGCTTATTCTCAAACTTAAATGTACTTTGTTAACCTTTTTTGTTTCATAGATACTTATAAGTATTTTGTTACTATTATAATTGATTTGTTCTATTATATATTGTAATAGTGTATGGTTTATACTTTTTTTTGGATGTTTGAGTGGAAAAAAGATTCAAATCAAATCAAATATATTTTCTAATCCAATTCAAAATAACCTGTCAATCACTTGTTGATTTAGCAACATATCTATGCCATGTTCTCCTAATGAAGACTTTAAGAGAAATTCAACTATAGGGCGGATCTGCATAGGGAGGGGGGAGGGTCAAAAATTGTGTTCATGTGCTTCGCTCGCCAGCAAGATGTGGAAACTTGAAAGATGATTTTCGAGGAAGAACTGTCTCCATCCCCTTAGATGAAAATGTATACAAACGACCTTTATTTTAAAGAAAGTAGTCTGATTAAAGATTAGATCATTATCCTACTAATTTAGCATAAGATTCCAATAACAGTGTATTTCTTGTGTTTTTAATTCTGTAATGGAATAGACGCGCTGTCGTTATCACTCAACGTTCGTCTTACATTCATCACTGGATTAAGCGTTGAATCTTATCCTTCTGTGGTCGAATCGCAAGAGAACCAGCGTCAGTTGGCCCAAGATGTAAGTTAATTTGGAGAAGTTCCAGAGAAATACAATTTAATCTGTCAATAAAGGTTCACTTATGAATCAAGAATCTTTTGTTTCTTAAACGTGAAAGTTAGTTGTTCACTACCTTTTTCTAAATCTGATAAATAACAATCATATAGAGTCAACTCAGATATGATTTTTTTTTTCTCAAACTGAATACACTTTAACTTAATAATACATTGATAGGATAACAGGCTATTCTGTGCAAATAAAGTTTCGCAAAACAAAAACAAATTCAACTAACGTGTGAATAAAATCTTCTTTTTTTAAAAGAGATTTTGAAGACGTTCTTCTTTTGAAACAAACAAAATTATTGTAAAAAGCATTTTTTGGGCTCATTTCAAACTCATCTAAAACTTTAGTCTTGTCAGAGCAAAATTCCCATTAAAGTTTAAATAATGAATTCATGGAATTGTGATTTATAAATCTTTTTGAAGGTTTGGCGTTACCTCAATACATCATCAGAATTGGGTGACGACATACTTCAGGCTGTGTCTGTGAAGAACTATACTGTGACCGGAACTTATGTTCTGGTGTCCTTCCGGGTCGACGTAAAACATGGTGCATCTTTGGATGATACCAGCCTAGAGCGGATTTTCATGGAATTGCTTCCTGGGTCACGACTTATTGCCCCAGATCATCAAGTCATGCAGGAGGGTAAGACGATACACTTATCTTAAACCTTAATAGCGCGGGGGTACTTTTTCTTTGACATCTCGCTCATACTTTAAGTCCCCTATTTGCAAAAATCGGGGGTACGGTTGCAGAGATATAGTACATATTCCTGACCAACGTCGCCAAAAAATGGCGGTTTCCATTGATCTTGTGTGTACAATGTATGGGTTTTACAAGAAGTGTTGTCCAAAAAATGCATTTTCTTTTTTCCTCAGATAACATCCCTTTTGACCATCATCAACTATTCTAGATAACAAAACAATGAAAAACTAAAGATTTGAAAACAAAGAAATACATAAAAATTCAGAAACAATCAGAGAAAAAGAAAAATTATCAATCTAAAAAAATGTTAGTGGACAAATAATTTCACATTTTTGATATTATTTAATTGTTCTAAATTTACAAAAATTAAGTAAAAAAGATTTCTGCCCTGACGTAATCAAAATAAGAAAATTCAGAATATTAGCATAATTAATGACAATTATAAATATGGAATTACAATACATGTCATTAATTTGACTAAGTTATCTCTTAGAATTTATGACAAGCTACAAACATGCCAAATTTGATTGCATTTTCTGCATAAATAGGGGGGGGGGCGGACTGGAAAAAATGAGAATTCCTTGAAAAGAATAACAATAGATATCATAAATGTGACTACCAGTATACAGTCTTGTAAAATACATGATGGGACACAGACACGCGAAGTTTGGTCAAAATCTGTCGATAAATATGTCGATAAAAACAAAAAAAATATAAAAAATTTAAATGTTAATACAAAAAAAAAATCATGAAAAAAAATAATGAAAAAAAAAAAATGACCCTCGGTAATGGTGTAATGTGTATAATTGGTGACATACAGTCCTCAAGAGGGCGACATGCATTGATCAAAAATATATTCATTTCACCAGCTGGTAAAATATAACCGGCCAGGAAAAAATTGATATCACGTGACAAGCTCTGGACCAATCACATCTCGGTATCTGTCTAAGCTATCTAATATATACATTTACAACACTCTGAAAATGGAAATTTAAGAAAAATGTGTCCCTTCAAGTTGAAGATTCGCCCTTCATACTCTTTTTCTTGAAACAATTTAAACTTTATTAATGAAAACCAGAATATTTTTTGTTCAGCTTTTCAATGATCATGTTTAATTATATAACTCATTGACGGAACCCCATGCAATGACACTAAGGTCTATTGGTTAATAATTATTTAATGCATGTGGAATATTTTAAATGTCCCCCTTTTCCTTTTGTAGATATCAACGAATGTGGTCTATCTTCAGATGTTTGCCGTAACGGAAACTGTACAAACACTGATGGAAGCTACTACTGCACTTGTAATGAGGGTTTCGAAGGAACAGGAAACGATTCTTGCTCAGGTAATTACTATTATACCATTAGTATAGTAGTAGTAGTAGTAGTAGTAGTAGTAGTATTAATAACAGTAGTTGCAGTCGTAGTATTGGTAGTCGTTGCTGTTGTTGTAAGTTATAATAGTAGTAGTAATATTAGTAGTAGTAGTAGTAATAGTTGTAGTAGTAGTAGTAGTAGTAGAAGTAGTCAGGGGCGTCAATGCATTTTATATTTAGGGGGCACTGAAATATGATTGTCTAAGTAGAGCAAGCAGAGCGTTAAACTCACTTCGCTCGCTCGCAAATAAATATTCAGCCCAACTGCAAAAGAATCATGTTTAGTATCTTGGACCATGTAAAGAGAGAAACAAACATTGAAATCATCCCTGATAATGTTATTAGAATGTAGGGTAGGGTATACACCAATGTCTAAAAAATATATATTTTCGCTTTTATGATTTCCCTTTGTAGGTGCCCCCTTTTTCCAGAAAATGTCCTTTTTGGTGCGCTTCCCTCCCCCACTTTGAAATACGCTCCGCCGCATCTGCCTCGACCTCATGCCGTTTAACGCTCTGCTTGCTTCGCTCTTGGGTTCTCAGACCTTAAAACGCATAGATTTTCTTCCATTTGTCAAACCAGTGTTGTTTCAGTGATACATAATTATACCCTACTTTACCTTGACGTTTTTTTTGATAGCCAGGCTTGCTAGCCTTTTACAATAGGCCTTTATTGAAATACTATTATTCTTATCAGGTGAATGAAATAATTTGTATTGAGGCACTTCACAAAGACTTATGCATTAAATTGGGTTACAGTACGAAAATGGTCCATTGTACGGCGATACAACTCTTCCGTCGAGTTTAGGGAACAAACGCTATTATGGCTGAGAACGGTCGTGAAAATCAACAAGACGGAGAAAATTCTGGTTAGCACATGCGCACATTGATTATTTTGCTCGGTTACCCTCGTATTTGCCTTCCGTCGTGTTTGCGGAAGTGCTGTATATACAGGTTACAAATGCAGACGGGAGCATAGTACAGGACAATCTCAGTTGAGTGAATTCTCCCATCTTTGCCTTCCGTCGCGTTGCTAAGGCGCCCTAGAATACACAGAATACTGATACTAGTGGTACTTCATTGGGAGCAGCGTAATCTGCGCTCGCCCATACTTTACCCTTGGCCACGTTCATTGTTCCGTTTACGTAACTTAGCTGTAGGTGGGCCTAAGACATAACTCTGTTCGTATATTCTATATACATGTAGGTCTAAAATACGTTGAAATATGTCTGTGTCATTTTTGTTTGTATATACCTTGTCAATACTAACAAACTAAAATTGTCAACATTTGCCAATAATCACAAGCTATTTATTGTGTTTCCCTTATCATCTTCCGCTCTAGAATCCTATCTTTTTTTCTTTTTTTGAGTGTCCTTTTCATATCTTTTACTTGTCTCCCTCTTCAAGATTTCTTTTGTTTTTGTAGGGTATTTATGCTATTTATTTTTTGTATGAATAAAAGAGAAAGTTTTATTCTCTCTCTTATAATATTGTTCACCTTCTTCTAGATAACCCTTTTGTGCTAAAGTATAATGTCCGATGTATATTATTTCTGTCAATAACGTATCATTTTATTTCCATGCAACATAGATTTACATTCAAATTCAAAACTTTTACCTTCTATAATTTTTGTACAGTAATATTCTTCTCATTTTGACATTATCAGCCGCTCGTTCTCTTTTTTCGTTCCCTATAATAAATATAAGGTAAAATGTGTACATCATCAGGGATATGTTATAATAATTTATCTCAAGGAGGGAATGATGTCGGCACATAACCAAATGGCGGAATAGAAAACAACATGAAAGATGAAGATGGAAAACGACATTGGCAGAAAGACAGAGAGAGAGAGAGAGAGACATACATACAGATAGACAGAGGGAGAGAGAGAGAGAGAGAGAAATAATAATTTCTCATGTCATTTTTTTGTCTGTGACATTTTACTAAATCTCATGTTTATTGTTCCTTTATCTTTCCATGATTGTTATATATTTGAATGAATGTTTCAGATAGGGTCATATTTGGTTCTGCGTTATAATTATGATCAGCTATTTTTGTTTAGGAGTATGTCAAAATGCGATCTCATTACAAATCTCGGAAGAGAAAACACTATGAGAGATGAAGATGGAAAACGACATTGAGCAAACGAGATTACCGGGGGTTAATGTTCAAGATTGTACATCATGCGCATAAACAAACATCAAGGAAAGGGTATTGTCGTTGGAGGTGGAACGTGCGTATCTCATTTAGGGTATCAAAAACATGAACATTTTTTAAGAAGAAAAATTGTTTAAATCGCACATCGCGTACGTTAAAGGGTACATTATTCATAAATCATGCTCACAAGATGTCGAGAATGAAATGAGCCCTATTTGAATGTTAAACCAGCATGCCGATAACACTGTTCAATTATTTGTTTGGAAAAATGCCATAATCGCGTGCAGAAAATTGCGGAAATCGAAATAGTAGTTCAGGGTATAGAAATTTTCTGAAATTAATGATAAATGACATAATTGTTTAGGGTAGGAAAACCTCCCAGAAATACTTGCTCAGGGTGTGATTTGGGGCTTCGATAAAATATTTGAAAGTCTGTGTATGTGCATGATGTGCACACTGTTGCAAAACGTGATGCACACTTGAAAGTTTGTCAAAGTGAGGCAAGGAATCTCACGATATGACCATTATCAGCTGCCGGGAATGAGGGGAACAAAATCAAACACTCAACCACTGTTGTGATTAATACGGTATACAAAATGCAAGGCTTCTAAAATGTGGGGGACATACCCTATTGTGTCCCTCTGCCTCCCCCCCCCCCCCCCCTGATTGACGCTAATAGTAGTAGTAGTAGTACAATAAACATATATACAATATCAAAGGAAAAAGCTGGGTCGCTCATATAATGCCATGCCAAGCCCGTCACGGCTGGTTTTCAATAGGATCCTTTTAATAAAAGAAATTACGAAGGTAAACATGATAATAATCAGTAGTTATATTAAATAATCTTTTTTCCTGTATTTCTTATTTTCTTTTAGATATCAATGAATGTCTCGGAGCTCACAATTGCAATCAGACATGCCTCAACTCAGCTGGAAACTTCTCGTGTTCTTGTCGTCCTGGGTTTGAGCTTCATGATGATGGGTTCACATGCAATGGTAAGTTTCTTTTACTTTTTTTTATTCAGAAAGCAAGAAATAAGTGAGGACAACAAAACAAGACAATGCAGAAGTTTCAACAAATGCTATATGAGCTATTAAATCTGAAATAAAAACCAATCAAAATAATTGCCAAGCTTTTCTTTTTAAGGCAATATTATACTCGGTCTTCTGCTTCATCATTTGATTGTTCCTGTTACAAACCATGATTAAAGCTATTCGCGTTGATAAAATCATGATTAAAGCTATTCGCGTTGATAAAATCATTTATCATGTTCCTGGCAATTAAATGCGAAAAGAAATTGTGAAACTTCTACACCCTTTTCAGTCTGTACCAACTAAAATATGTTGCGTGTAATGTAAACAAAGGAGGATGACTTTGAAATACTTTGCCCGAAGTTAAAATCAGTAGTCTGCGCATCTAGTGGACCCTTTCTACCATGTCTGCCAAGGCGATTTATGTGTTAGAGAATATTTCTTCCCACATTCATATGATACAAATGTGATAAAAAATATACAAGTTGTATGTAATCTTCCTAAACCCTCTCTATACTATGCTGTCACAAAAGAAAAGAAGACTTTATTTCAATTGACAGACTGCCAAGTAAAATTCAAAGATGGGAGGGTGTTCAATATTTGTGTGCAGTTCTGAGAGAAACTACACTCTTGATTTTGAGTTGACACATGGAAAATGGGAGTGTTCATCTAAAGGCTGGCTCACACTATGACGAATAGGAGGGTACCACAAGCTACGTTAAGCTGCGAATTGCAATTTTGAATTTCCTGCCAATCATCGTGTGTTGCCTTCAATTGTCGCTGACGAATCCGCTAGCGACCGCAGACCGCCGGAATTACCAGTCGCGTCCGTCTGCAAATATATCAAGTTAAAAATTTTGTGGCAGCAAAAAAATTGTTGTGATTCCATTCAGATTTCGTTGGAGACCTCAACCCTCATTTCCTTAACCCTATTTAGCCCGGGCTAGTTTGAAACTGCATATAATAACCAATGTTTTATCTCTTTATTTGAAAAATGAGATTTCCATATGGTTTGTACACAAATCACAAAAATGAGCGATTTTCGGGCTGACATGCAAAGACAAAAGGACACGTGACTTTGTAATGGTAGGTCCGATTTTCGAAAAATTTCTTTCAAAAGATGCGCAAGACTCGAAAGAAAAAAGCCACAAAATTTCAGTGCAAAATTTTCTTGCGTTAGCAAATGATTGCGGAAAATGTCGAGGGGGGGGGGGCTAAATAGGGTTAACCCTATTTAGCCCGGGCTATTTGGAAACTGCATAGCCAGACCCCCCCCCCCCCCCCTATGATCTCGGTCGTGAAACGGCCGATCGCCGCCAAAATTTGCATGCATGTCAAGTGAAGTGTATAAAATGCTATGGTAATTTCATTTTTTTTTGAAAAATTCACTCATTTGTATATTTATGGTAATTTATGCAAATATGGTAATAACATTCACATTTTTATCCATAAATCATATATTCTTCATATTTAAACATTTATTTTCCCTACATATATTATTAAGACCATTTGCGATAATAATACAGCCTAAAAAATTGGAAGAGCCAGGTTATTCCTTATGTTATCTATTGTTTTGATAATTTCTTATGTATTTCTTTGTTTTTTTAACTCATGTATTTTATTGTTTTTGTTGTTTTATTTCATTTCCAACTATAATTCAACTATTTTGACCCCAAAATAAACACCTAAACTATAAACAAGACCAAATAACCAATGTTTTATCTCTTTATTTGAAAAATGAGATTTCCATATGTTTTGTACACAAATCACAAAAATGGGCGATTTTCGGGCTGACATGCAAAGACAAAAGGACACGTGACTTTGTAATGGTAGGTCCGATTTTCGAAAAATTTCTTTCAAAAGATGCGCAAGACTCCAAAGAAAAAAGTCACAAAATGTCAGTGCAAGATTTGTTTGCGTTAACAAATTATCGCGAAAAATGTCGAGGGGGGGGGGGCTAGATAGGGTTAAAGTGGAAATTCAAAGAAACTCAAAAATATGTCAACTAATGTATCCCTTGAAACTGGTAAGCTAACAGATGGCCGTCGGACAAGTTTTAGGTCAACTACATATCGGGTGATTTATAAAATTACAAATACAACCACCTCCATAGCAGCTGGGATATATGAGAGATTCGCCAGAAACATAACAATGTTTTAATGACGTCACAATGTGGACCAATACTGCCCAAGCAGACGACATCCCGTAAAGAGTGAACATAATTGCAAAGCTATTATTTGTCAAATTATAGTGAGTTTAGTGTATATAAATGTGATGGCATTTCAAACTATTCAAAAGGGTATATGAAACCGATTCTGATAACTAAAATATTTTGATTGTAAATACACAGGATAGGGGTTAATTAACAATCAAAGAAAACCAGACTTTCAAGTTGAAAAAACCCTTTGTTCCCTCTTGAAACGCCGAACAACAGAAGCTAAATATACAATGGGGACTTATTTTGTTTACAAGCGACAGATTCCTTTATTTTTGTATCGCTGCATTTGTCATCAAAATAAAACCTTGCGCGGGTTTAGAGTGACGCAATAGATTATACATTTAGCCTGACGGTAGTGAAGTAAGAGAAAGAACTCAAGAGAAGATGAAAAAACAGGCACTGAAAATGTGTGAGATGTCATGGGACATCGTCTGCTTGTGCAAATCATGTCTATAATGTTATCTCACACATCTCAGCAGCGTTCGGAGAGCTCTTCAGGTTGCTATGCCGGAGCTGTATTTCAGCGTTTTTTTAATTTATAATAATCTTTACTTCGAATGTTTCCAAGCATTTTATTTTGATAACCTTGTCGGATCAAAGTTTCAACTGTGCAGTAATGAAAATAAAGTTAGTTTTTAAAATCAATGAATATCTACTTTAACGTTTCTATGCTGTGCGATTCCATCTTTAGTCATTTTGAGGTCGTCACAATTTTGTTGGTAGTCGTTGTTAACGACGGCAAGTGACGTCACATCTCGAACCCTGAAGACACATTGCGGCAAGTAACGAAAGTGTAACGACCTTGGCGTGACGATGGATTGCAATTTTCGGCCGAAGGGTGACGACTGTTGATGGCGGGTCGTTTCCAAGTACCTGCAACACTGCAACGGTGGTCTGCGATGGGTTATGATTTTGCAACGAAAGTCCACGATTTTTAAATTGTAGTGCGACTCTCCACGTTTTGTTACGTTAGTTAATTTCAATAGACTGTCCGGCTCGATGCAATTTTGAAGTTCATTTAAAAAGAAACTGTCAAAGCTGTTTCATCATCATGGAGGACGGAGCTAGGGTCAGGCTACAATATGCCTCGCCGCAACCTAGCGTCAACCGCCGTTCCTTTGCCACCAGCTAATCCGCTGCCAGCCGTCTGACCTCGTTCCTTGTTGCCGAGCTTCGTCGAGACATCGTCACTCGCCTCCATGACAACGTTTGACTTTGGTCGCTAGATTCCCTTCCCTGCCGCAGCCATTCGTCCCTTGCCTTCGTGTTGTCGCTGAAGGTCGTTTCTACCCGTTCTTGGTTTTCCCCTTTTGCCGTCGCTTTGCCGCCTAAATTTTGTGATTTTCATATCCGTCGCCTTGTGCGGGGTCTTTGCCGCTACTATGTGAGCCAGCATTTTAAGAGCAGAGTTGATATTGTAATTCCTTCAATAAATGACTTTATTTCACACATTGATACCATGACACGGACATTTCTGCGTCCATTTTACCCCTAAATGACACAGCATCCACTTTACTTACCCTCTTTTATAGCAGAGACACATCAAGGTTGTCAGACAATCAGATTTTGTTCGTAAAATTATTTCTTTCCAAGGCCTCAATGTTGAAATGATTCAAACATTAATAGAGATATTTGGTTATTTACTTCATTTTATTTATATATTGATAGTTTTTCAAATGAAGTAATTCATACCCCAAGTGTCATTGATTTGCATTATACCAGTTTTTACTTGATTTCCCTGTATCCACCTGTATCTGTCTTTTTAACTCAATTTACTCAGATATCGACGATTGTTCTACCACACCTTGTATGAATGGAGGGACTTGTGTTGATGGAGTAAACACCTTTACTTGTTCCTGTGTTGATGGCTATAACGGGAGTATGTGTGAAACAGGTATTAAAGCTGTTATGTCAAATCGGATTACTTACCTACATACATACACGTTTTCTATGTAGAGCAATTGATCCTTGCTTATAGAGAATAAAGGGAAATTAATGAACAAGCAAGTAAAAAGAAAAAACATTTAATCATTAGAGAGAAAATTTGTATACAGTTTTTCTTAATTCAATGTCAACAGAAGTGCAAGCACAGACACAAGACAGAGCGTGTTTCATATTTTGGTGCAGTTAAAGGGACCGTATCAGCAGTTTCCATGTGCAGAAGGCCATATTTCGCTGACACCAGACTTGGTGGATATACCATTAATGGGAGTACAAATCTACACACAGCAAAACCGTTGGCCAGTCAAGAATGCTCCCCTAATCTCTCGGATAATACTCGAGAGTTTTCGGGTAACGGGGGAAAGCAAAGCATTACATGAGGTCTAATGGTCATAAAACACAAGGCTAACCCGGGTGATTGACAACACCTGTTTTGGGCCGAACACCCGAACGGTGTCGAATTCCCCATGAGAGCTGACTACTGAGTGTCTTTAAGAGGGAATTTACACTCCTCTTGATTTTGAGTAGACACATGGGAAATGGGAGTGCATGGTCATTAAACCCTCAATGGCTCCGAGGGGGGGGGGGGGGACTAAATTAATCTTGCGCTGAAAATTCATGACTTTTTCTTTTACATCTGGTGCACATTTTAGGAAGGTCGTTTCTACGTGTTCTTGGTTTTCCCCTTTTGCCGTCGCTTTGCCGCCTAAATTTTGTGATTTTCATATCCGTCGCCTTTTGCGGAGTCTTTGCCGCTACTATGTGAGCCAGCATTTTAAGAGCAGAGTTGATATTGTAATTCCTTCAATAAATGACTTTATTTCACACATTGATACCATGACACGGACATTTCTGCGTCCATTTTACCCCTAAATGAAACAGCATTCACTTTACTTACCCTCTTTTATAGCCGAGACACATCAAGGTTGTCAGACAATCAGATTTTTTTCGTAAAATAATTTCTTTCCAAGGCCTCAATGTTGAAATGATTCAAACATTAATAGAGATATTTGGTTATTTACTTCATTTCATTTATATATTGATAGCTTTTCAAATGAAGTAATTCATACCCCAAGTGTCATTGATTTGCATATACCAGTTTTTACTTGATTTCCCTGTATCCACCTGTATCTGTCTTTTTAACTCAATTTACTCAGATATCGACGATTGTTCTACCACACCTTGTATGAATGGAGGGACTTGTGCTGATGGAGTAAACACCTTTACTTGTTCCTGTGTTGATGGCTATAACGGGAGTATGTGTGAAACAGGTATTAAAGCTGTTATGTCAAATCGGATTACTTACCTACATACATACACGTTTTCTATGTAGAGCAATTGATCCTTGCTTATAGAGAAAAAAAAGGTAAATTAATTAACAAGCAAGTAAAAAGAAAAAACATTTAATCATTAGAGAGAAAATTTGTATACAGTTTTTCTTAATTCAATGTCAACAGAAGTGCAAGCACAGACACAAGACAGAGCGTGTTTCATATTTTGGTGCAATTAAAGGGACCGTATCGGCAGTTTCCATGTGCAGAAGGCCATATTTCGCTGACACCAGACTTGGTGGATATACCATTAATGGGAGTACAAATCTGCACACAGCAAAACCGTTGGCCAGTCAAGAATTCTCCCCTAATATCTCGGATAATACTCGAGAGTTTTTGGGTAACGGGGGAAAGCAAAGCATTACATAAGGTCAAATGGTCATAAGACACAAGGCTAACCCTGATGATTGACAACACCTGTTTTGGGGTAAACACCCGAACGGTGTCGAAATCCCCATGAGAGCTGACTAGTGAGTGTCTTTAAGAGGGAATTTACACTCCTCTTGATTTTGAGTAGACACATGGGAAATGGGAGCGCATGGTCATTTAACCCTCAATGGCTCCGGGGGGGGGGGGGGACTTAATTAATCTTGCGCTGAAAATTCATGACTTTTTCTTTTACATCTGGTGCACATTTTAGGAAGGTCGTTTCTACCCGTTCTTGGTTTTCCCCTTTTGCCGTCGCTTTGCCGCCTAAATTTTGTGATTTTCATATCCGTCGCCTTTTGCGGGGTCTTTGCCGCTACTATGTGAGCCAGCATTTTAAGAGCAGAGTTGATATTGTAATTCCTTCAATAAATGACTTTGAGGCTGTTCACACCGCAATGAGATAGCGCGGTCTATCGAAAGCACCCCCTTTTTTCTAGCGCGCGCTAGACCGCGCTCTCTCTCGTGGACCACCCCCAAGAGGTGCTCCAATGGCACGCCGTTTTGGCTCGCCGTAGCTCGCTGTTGGGCGGACCGAAACGACGTTGTACCTTCCAAACCGCAGAGATAGCGCGGTCTAGCGCGCGCTTTCTCTGCCGGTGTGAACAGCCTCTTTACTTCACACATTGATACCATGACACGGACATTTTTGCGTCCATTTTACCCCTAAATGAAACAGCATTCACTTTACTTACCCTCTTTTATAGCCGAGACACATCAAGGTTGTCAGACAATCAGATTTTTTTCGTAAAATAATTTCTTTCCAAGGCCTCAAAGTTGAAATGATTCAAAGATTAATAGAGATATTTGGTTATTTACTTCATTTTATTTATATATTGACAGTTTTTCAAATGAAGTAATTCATACCCCAAGTGTCATTGATTTGCATATACCAGTTTTTACTTGATTTCCCTGTATCCACCTGTATCTGTCTTTTTAACTCAATTTACTCAGATATCGACGATTGTTCTACCACACCTTGTATGAATGGAGGGACTTGTGTTGATGGAGTAAACACCTTTACTTGTTCCTGTGTTGATGGCTATAACGGGAGTATGTGTGAAACAGGTATTAAAGCTGTTATGTCAAATCGGATTACTTACCTACATACATACACGTTTTCTATGTAGAGCAATTGATCCTTGCTTATAGAGAAAAAAAGGTAAATTAATGAACAAGCAAGTAAAAAGAAAAAACATTTAATCATTAGAGAGAAAATTTGTATACAGTTTTTCTTAATTCAATGTCAACAGAAGTGCAAGCACAGACACAAGACAAAGCGTGTTTCATATTTTGGTGCAGTTAAAGGGACCGTATCGGCAGTTTCCATGTGCAAAAGGCCATATTTCGCTTACACCAGACTTGGTGGATATACCATTAATGGGAGTACAAATCTGCACACAGCAAAACCGTTGGCCAGTCAAGAATTCTCCTCTAATCTCTCGGATAATACTCGAGAGTTTTCGGGTAACGGGGGAAAGCAAAGCATTACATAAGGTCTAATGGTCATAAAACACAAGGCTAACCCGGGTGATTGACAACACCTGTTTTGGGGTAAACACCTGAACGGTGTCGAATTCCCCATGAGAGCTGACTACTGAGTGTCTTTAAGAGGGAATTTACACTCCTCTTGATTTTGAGTAGACACATGGGAAATGGGAGTGCATGGTCATTTAACCCTCGATGGCTCCGGGGGGGGGGGACTAAATTAATCTTGCCTTGAAAATTCATGACTTTTTCTTTTACATCTGGTGCACATTTTAGGACCCTATTTACCAAAATTCGGATACGTTTGTAAAGATATAAAATATCATTAGTACCAAAATGTAGGCCCAGTGGCATTAATTTATTGTCTTTGGAACTCGCTCTCTGTACGCTTCGGGTATAAGTTCGTAAACTTTTAGAAACCTTGATTGTACTCTATCATCATCTGACACATCGGTCATTGACATCACTATTAATGTAGGCATCCCTAGCCTTACCGCTAAGCTTACTAGTATTCAGGTGAGCCCGTATTTCTGGATGCCACCCCATGCTTTGAGCTAATTTCTCAGTGTGGAAAGTACTTTTCCACTCCTTCCTCCTCGAATGGAAGGACCATTCTGACATTTTTTGCAATGTCAAAATGCCTATTAGCATTTCTCTTTTTTTTCTGTTCACGACAACCATTTTCTCTCTCTCCAACTCTAGCTCTTTTTTTCTCACTTCATCCGATACTAAAGACCTAGCCTAAGAATCTAATTCATTCATTTTTCATTTCATTTCATTTATTTAACCAGTATAAAAACAATTTACAATAAAAATACAATATACAATATACAATATAATGGTTAGGACCCCTAAGAAGCAGAAATCTGCTTGTAATCGGGGCCCTGCAAACAAACAATAACAAGATAATGCACATAAATTAACAATACAAAGTAAAGGACTTAAATAATACAAGTACGCACCCGTACATCAACACACACGCACGTTCATAAAGGTTACAGAGAAAGAATAGAAGGAAGCGAAAATAGGGCAGAAAGAGATAAAAGTAGAAAAAAGATGGGAAAGAGAAGTACTTACTCAAGCATGGATTGAAAAATACTTTTTTTATACATTGATTTAAATCTGGTAATTGTAGAACTGGATCTTAGGTCATAATTCAAGGAATTCCACTCCCGTACCCCAACAAATGATATAGAATTATACATTAAAGTTGAACGACAGAGTGGGTGATGTAAATTTAGACGTTGACGAGTGGGGTAATTGTGAACAGAAGAATTTGTTTGGAACATATTATTAAAAACAGATGGTAACAGGTTTTTATGAAATTTAAACATAAATATACATGTATTAAGTTTGATCAAATCATATACAGGAATAATTTTCAGTTTAATAAATAATGGTAAACTTGGAGACATATAATGACTATTTGTTATTAACCGAGCTGCACGTTTCTGTAACATATAAATCTTGAACAGTTTTGTTTTGTAAGTATTACCCCAAATGATATTGCAATAATTTAAGTGGGGAAGAAGTGTTGCATTGTAAATATTCATTAATATGTTCCTTGGGAGAAAATTCTTTAGTCTAGATAAAACACCAATACTTCTAGAAATTTTAGAACAAACATAATCAATATGACATTTCCAATCTAGAGTTTCTTCAATATTAGTACCTAAAAAAATAACACTTAGTTCTCGTTCAATATTTACATTCGCTATTTTAACAGGATTGGTGACATTTGGAACTTTCTTTTTCTTTGTGTGAAAAATTACATATTTTGTTTTTTCATAATTCAAAAATAATTTATTACATTTAAACCAATCATTCAATTTTATTAACTCTTCATTTAAATTAGAAACTAAGCATGCTACATTAGAATGAGAATAATATACAACCGTATCATCAGCAAATAATGAAAACATAAGTAATTTGGATGAACTGATTATATCGTTAATATATATGATAAATAAAAGTGGTCCGAGAACCGATCCTTGCGGAACTCCAGTATTTACATCCATATAATCAGATTCGACACCATCGACCATCACATATTGTTTTCTATTAAACAAATAATCAGAAAACCACTGATGAGGTATACCGCGTATACCGTAATGGTACAGTTTTTTAAGTAAAATATGGTGGTCGATGGTGTCAAATGCCTTAGATAGATCCATAAACAATCCATAACAAAACATTCCATTATTAATTTCATGCAGAATATTTTTAGTAAAATTCACAATACTCAGATCAGTGCTATGGTTTTTACGAAAACCAAACTGTTCTGAAATAAGAACATTATATTTCAGTAAATAATCATATAACCTTTTATGCATTACTTTTTCCAACAGTTTTGCAAAAACAGAAAGCAAGGCTATGGGTCTATAATTTTCTATATTTTTAACATCATTTTTTTTGTATAAGGGTACAATTTTGGCAACTTTTAATTTATCTGGGACGATTCCACTATTTAAAGATTTATTAAATATGTCACACAATGGATTAACAAAAAAATGAATACAATTTTTAACAACTTTAGGTGAAATGCAGTCAGGTCCACTTGACTTATCTATTTTTAACAGAGAAGACAGTTTGATAATTTCATGAATACTTGTTGATTTAACATAAAATGAATTTAAATTTGGGTTAACAAGGTATTTATCATAAGAGTAATTAGGTGTTTGAATCGATTTTGATAGTTGTTTACCTATGTCAATAAAAAATGTATTAAACTCTTTTGCAATATCTTTCCTACTACTCATTTTTATATTTCCGTGATACATATTTTGAGGTAGTTTATTCTGTTTCTTTTTGCCAAGTATCATATTGATCTGCGACCATGTTTTTTTCATATCATTCTTTAAGTTATAAAACAAAGACTCGTAATATTTCCTCTTTGACGCTCTTATGATATTTGTTAATTTATTTTTATAATCTAAATATTTTCTTTTATGATTGACACTAGGTCTTTTTAAGCTATTTTCATATAATCTATGTTTACGTTTCACTGAATTCAATATTACTTGCGTAATCCAAGGTTTCCGTAAATTACCATTGAGTTGTTTGACTAATTAAATAGGAAAACAGTTATTATAATTGGAATAGAATTTTGTAAAGAAGATATCATAAGAGTCATTTGCACTTTCACAAGTATAGACCTCTGACCAGTCAATGGATGATAAACTTTCTTTAAACATTGACATTGATGAATCATTAATAATGCGTCTTTTTATGTATTTGTTACCATTCTTTACAATTCTTTCACTTGCAATTGAAAATACTGGAAAATGATCTGATAGATCACTATAAATGAGTCCTGTATATTTTTCTTCCTGTATGGTATTTGAAAATATGTTATCTATCAAGGATGCCTTATTTTCAGTAATGCGAGTTGGCTTTGTTATTAAGGGAAGTAGATTAAAAGAAAGCATCATATCTAAAAAGTCATTTGTTTTATTATGGATACCATAATTAAGCAAGTTTACGTTAAAGTCCCCTAAAATATATAAGTCTTTCTTCTCACTTTCCAGTATTTCAAGAACACTTTGTATTTTCTCATTGAAACGAGATATGTCAGAATCTGGTGGACGATAAACGCAACCAACAACTATAGGTTTAGGTTTCTTACTTATTTCAACAAATATAGTTTCATAATTGCATTCAGAATAAGTAAATTCGGGTAGTACTTTGTAATTGAGATTATTTTTCAAATATAGTGCAACTCCGCCACCAGATTTTGAGGGTCTACACTTAGAAACAAGAAAATATCCGTCTAGGTTATACATATTAATATTTGTAGAAGAATTGAACCAAGTTTCAGTTATGGCAATGATATCAAATTCAAATTGAAGAGATGACAGAACAATCTGTAATTCATCAAAATGTTTCTTTAGGCTTCTAGCATTCAAATGGAGAAGTGACAGTTTAGAATTCAATTTACTAAATTTTAGACTAAATTCTTCACAAAATGTGTATTGACATGAATTTTTAAGTTCAAGTTCTAAATCAAAAAGGCTATGCACATCATATTTATTCATACAAAATGGGTTTAATTTCAATTGTAATAACTTGTCAATATCAATTCTCCTATTTAAATGGAAAAAGTCGTACATAGTCCAATAAAATTCATTATCATCATCTATATGGTTGAATGGAAAAATATTAGAAATACATTGAGTGCATAACCATGACTGAGTTGGAAAGAAGGAAGAAGAGATACCACAATGAACACATACACTCATTCGCACATTCACAAATTAACTTTCAATAAGTAGTTAATAATACATAAATACAGTAAAAATAACGAAGATAATTACAAAAAGATCTGTAATTAATCAAAGGGCATAGGCATAGAATATGAAAAATATCATATTTGCATGTAGTCAGTTTAATGTATATCAGTTTTCACATTAAACTGACATACATTAAACTGACTACATGCAAATATGATATTTTTCATATTTCTGGGAACCGAACAAATCTCCTCTGCCACCAGAAACTTGACAACGTTGTCCAAAAAAATCTGACTTCAGCATGTAGCGTTTGATACCTACAATCTCATGAGTTGCTACAACCAACAATTCATCTTTTGTTAACGAGTGTAATCATTCCATAGACGGATCCCTATTAAACAAACTCTCCCAACGAGAACTCGCTAGCCATCATGCAAAAACCAAGTTTTGTATTATGTAGAAAATTGTATTTCCTTTGTCCCTTTTCCAGTTTCATGCAGCCTGAAACAATACCTAGTGCCACCTTACAATTTTAAAGAAACAAATTCACAAAAATTGTTTTCTTGACCAATAAGTACCCAAAAATGAATTAAGCAAGGATGACATTAATTGCGTTGGTATTTACAGGATATAATGAATTTGAATTGATTTACAGAGATTGCAGAACTAAACAAAATAAATTATTACAATATTTTTTTATTTTTTAATATTTTTGGTCTCTTAAAATCTGTTGTGCCTTGCAATAATAGCATAGGGTTTTAACTTTTGCTCTGTCGATGTGATATATATGAGAGCCTATTAATATTTTTGTTTTTCTCTCATTTTTTGGGTAAGCTTTGACTAAACGTTTAATTTGCCAGTTTTCGCAAAACTCAAATTGGCAATTTGGTCTGTTGATTGAAATGTATTTACTATTTACATTCAACTGCAAAGAGAAATTGTCATTTTTAGGGAAAGAGTGTGTTCTGACAAAACACTGTTGCTTCAAAAGTCAACTTACATGTGTTTTTAGAAATGTATTTAGCGCGGAATGCAATACTGTGAAATTCAGATGTTGATCAGGTTGATATATATAGTTTTGTATTATGCAGAAAATTGTACTTTCTTTGTCTCTTTTCCAGTTCCATCAAGTGCCACAACCGTGCAGCCTACAGCAACACCTAGTGAAACTTCACAACTTGGTAAAAAATAGGTTTAATGAAACAAATTCACAAATATTAATGTCTTGACTGATTTGTTGAAAAAATAAGCAAGGATTGCAATATATGCAACAGTAGAGATGTAATGAATTTAAATTGATTTTATAGAAATAGTAGAAGAGATCAAACAAGTTGTTTTCACACAGTTTACTATTTCTGCGTTTAGTAAAATAAAGAAATAAAATGTGTGTTTTTTAAGGTCTCGAAGAAATATCAAAGGATATGTATATTGCTCAGCCTATGTCATATATAACAGAGCCTAGTTATATCCATTGTTTATGTTTTGTATCTTATATTTTCTTGATAAATTTTGTCTCAGCCAACAATATGTGATTGGAATAATTTTTTGAGATAGCAAACTTAGGTCACACGCAAGCTATGGTAACACCACCATTCATGAGTTTATCTAGGAAGCATTGTTTGTGTCTTAGTAAGATCTTGAAATTCATTAAAAACCCGTTGCACAGCAAAAGTTAAAGAGGCAATTTGACGACTGGACTTTATATTATTTGTGTGAAAGCATTGGACACATATTAAGAAAATTGTAAGTGTTTGAAATATGAGATCACCAAGTCTATGCAAACCTCAAATTGGCAATTTAGTTGGTGGATTGTGATGTTTTCACTATTTACCACCTACCTGGCTTCCACTGTCAGTTGCTGACAATTTGCGACCACATATCTGCACATCTTCATGTTTTCCTTCTCTATTTACAATCAACTTCAAAGAGCTTTGATATTTTCAAGGAAGGGGCTTGTCCTGACAAATAATCTTGCTTCAAAAGTGAACTTCCATGTATTATAGAAATGTATTTATCGTGGATCACAATACTGCAATATTCAGATGTTGATCAGGTTTATATATAGTTTTGTATTATGCAGAAAATGTTACTTTCTTTGTCTTTTTACCAGTTCCATCAAGTGCCACAACCATGCAGCCTACAGCAACATCTAGTGAATCCTCACAACTTGGTAAAGAAATAGGTTTAATGAAACAAATTCCCAAATATTGTTGTGTTGACCGATTAGTTAAACAAAAATGAATTAAGCAAGGATGGCATTACTTGATTTTGGTAAGGATATAATGAATTTGAATTGAGTTACAGAGATTGTAGAAGAGGTCAAATAAGCTGTCTCCACACAGCTTACCATTTATGTGTTGAAAAAAAATTATTACAATAGTTTTTTATTTTTAAATATTTTTTTGTCTCTTAAAATCTGTTGTGCCTTGCAATAATAGCATAGGGTTTTAACTTTTGCTCTGTCGATGTGATATATATGAGAGCCTATTAATATTTTTGTTTTAATCTCATCTTGTTTTTGGTAAGCTTTGACTAAACGTTTAATTTGCCAGTTTTCGCAAAACTCAAATTGGCAATTTGGTCTGGTGATTGAAATGTATTTACTATTTACATTCAACTGCAAAGAGAGTTTGTCATTTTTAGGGAAAGAGTGTGTTCTGACAAAACACTGTTGCTTCAAAAGTCAACTTACATGTGTTTTAGAAATGTATTCATCGTGGAATGCAATACTGCAATATTCAAATGTTGATCAGGTTGATATAAATAGTTTTGTATTATGCAGAAAATGTTACTTTCTTTGTCTCTTTACCAGTTCCATCAAGTGCCACAACCATGCAGCCTACAGCAACATCTAATGAAACCTCACAACTTGGTAAAGAAATAGGTTTAATGAAACAAATTTCCAAATATTGTTGTCTTGACCGATTAGTTAAACAAAAATGAATTAAGCAAGGATGGCATTACTTGATTTTGGTAAGGAAATAATGAATTTGAATTGAGTTACAGAGATTGTAGAAGAGGTCAAATAAGCTGTCTCCACACAGCTTACCATTTATGTGTTGAAAAAAAAATTATTACAATAGTTTTTTATTTTTAAATATGTTTTTGTCTCTTAAAATCTGTTGTGCCTTGCAATAATAGCATAGGGTTTTAACTTTTGCTCTGTCGATGTGATATATATGAGAGCCTATTAATATTTTTGTTTTAATCTCATCTTGTTTTTGGTAAGCTTTGACTAAACGTTTAATTTGCCAGTTTTCACAAAACTCAAATTGGCAAATTTGGTCTGTTGATTGAAATGTTTTACTATTTACAATCAACTGCAAAGAGAGTTTGTCATTTTAAGGGAAAGAGTGTGTTCTGACAAAACACTGTTGCTTCAAAAGTCAACTTACATGTGTTTTAGAAATGTATTTATCGTGGAATGCAATACTGCAACATTCAGATGTTGATCAGGTTTATATATAGTTTTGTATTATGCAGAAAATGTTACTTTCTTTGTCTTTTTACCAGTTCCATCAAGTGCCACAACCATGCAGCCTACAGCAACATCTAGTGAATCCTCACAACTTGGTAAAGAAATAGGTTTAATGAAACAAATTCCCAAATATTGTTGTGTTGACCGATTAGTTAAACAAAAATGAATTAAGCAAGGATGGCATTACTTGATTTTGGTAAGGATATAATGAATTTGAATTGAGTTACAGAGATTGTAGAAGAGGTCAAATAAGCTGTCTCCACACAGCTTACCATTTATGTGTTGAAAAAAAATTATTACAATAGTTTTTTATTTTTAAATATTTTTTTGTCTCTTAAAATCTGTTGTGCCTTGCAATAATAGCATAGGGTTTTAACTTTTGCTCTGTCGATGTGATATATATGAGAGCCTATTAATATTTTTGTTTTAATCTCATCTTGTTTTTGGTAAGCTTTGACTAAACGTTTAATTTGCCAGTTTTCGCAAAACTCAAATTGGCAATTTGGTCTGTTGATTGAAATGTATTTACTATTTACATTCAACTGCAAAGAGAGTTTGTCATTTTTAGGGAAAGAGTGTGTTCTGACAAAACACTGTTGCTTCAAAAGTCAACTTACATGTGTTTTAGAAATGTATTTAGCGCGAAATGCAATACTGTGAAATTCAGATGTTGATCAGGTTGATATATATATATAGTTTTGTATTATGCAGAAAATGTTACTTTCTTTGTCTCTTTTCCAGTTCCATCAAGTGCCACAACCATGCAGCCTACAGCAACATCTAGTGAAACCTCACAACTTGGTAAAGAAATAGGTTTAATGAAACAAATTCCCAAATATTGTTGTCTTGACCGATTAGTTAAACAAAAATGAATTAAGCAAGGATGGCATTACTTGATTTTGGTAAGGATATAATGAATTTGAATTGAGTTACAGAGATTGTAGAAGAGGTCAAACAAGCTGTCTCCACACAGCTTACCATTTATGCGTTGACAAAAAAAAATTATTACAATATTTTTTTATTTTTAAATATTTTTTTGTCTCTTAAAATCTGTTGTGCCTTGCTATAATAGCATAGGGTTTTAACTTTTGCTCTTTCGATGTGATATATATGAGAGCCTATTAATATTTTTGTTTTTCTCTCATTTTTTTGGTAAGCTTTGACTAAACGTTTAATTTGCCAGTTTTCGCAAAACTCAAATTGGCAATTTGGTCTGTTGATTGAAATGTATTTACTATTTACAATCAACTGCAAAGAGAGTTTGTCATTTTTAGGGAAAAAGTGTGTTCTGACAAAACACTGTTGCTTCAAAAGTCAACTTACATGTGTTTTAGAAATGTATTTAGCGCGAAATGCAATACTGTGAAATTCAGATGTTGATCAGGTTTATATATATATATATAGTTTTGTATTATGCAGAAAATGTTACTTTCTTTGTCTCCTTTCCAGTTCCATCAAGTGCCACAACCATGCAGCCTACAGCAACATCTAGTGAAACCTCACAACTTGGTAAAGAAATAGGTTTAATGAAACAAATTCCCAAATATTGTTGTCTTGACCGATTAGTTAAACAAAAATGAATTAAGCAAGGATGGCATTACTTGATTTTGGTAATGATATAACGAATTTGAATTGAGTTACAGAGATTGTAGAAGAGGTCAAACAAGCTGTCTCCACACAGCTTACCATTTATGCGTTGACAAAAAAAAATTATTACAATATTTTTTTATTTTTAAATATTTTTTTGTCTCTTAAAATCTGTTGTGCCTTGCTATAATAGCATAGGGTTTTAACTTTTGCTCTTTCGATCTGATATATATGAGAGCCTATTAATATTTTTGTTTTTCTCTCATTTTTTTGGTAAGCTTTGACTAAACGTTTAATTTGCCAGTTTTCGCAAAACTCAAATTGGCAATTTGGTCTGTTGATTGAAATGTATTTACTATTTACAATCAACTGCAAAGAGAGTTTGTCATTTTTAGGGAAAGAGTGTGTTCTGACAAAACACTGTTGCTTCAAAAGTCAACTTACATGTGTTTTAGAAATGTATTTAGCGCGGAATGCAATACTGTGAAATTCAGATGTTGATCAGGTTGATACATATAGTTTTGTATTATGCAGAAAATGTTACTTTCTTTGTCTCTTTTCCAGTTCCATCAAGTGCCACAACCATGCAGCCTACAGCAACACCTAGTGAAACCTCACAACTTGGTAAAGAATAGGTTTAATGAAACAAATTCACAAATATTAATGTCTTGACTGATTTGTTAAAAAAATAAGCAAGGATTGCAATATATGCAACAGTAAAGATGTAATGAATTTAAATTGATTTCATAGAAATAGTAGAAGAGATCAAACAAGTTGTTTCCACACAGTTTACCATTTCCGCGTTTAGTAAAATAAAGAAATAAAATGTGTGTTTTTTTAAGGTCTCGAAGAAATATCAAAGGATATGTATATTGCTCAGACTATGTCATATATAACAGAGCCTAGTTATATCCATTGTTTATGTTTTGTATCTTATATTTTCTTGATAAATTTTGTCTCAGCCAACGATATGTGATTGGAATAATTTTTTGAGATAGCAAACTTAGGTCACACGCAAGCTATGGTAACACCACCATTCATGAGTGTATCTAGGAAGCATTGTTTGTGTCTTAGTAAGATCTTGAAATTCATTAAAAACCCGTTGCACAGCAAAAGTTAAAGAGGCAATTTGACGACTGGACTTTATATTATTTGTGTGAAAGCATTGGACAAATATTAAGAAAATTGTAAGTGTTTGAAATATGAGATCACCAAGTCTATGCAAACCTCAAAGTGGCAATTTAGTTGGTGGATTGTGATGTTTTCACTATTTACCCACCTACCTGGCTTCCACTGTCAGTTGCTGACAATTTGCGACCACATATCTGCACATCTTCATGTTTTCCTTCTCTATTTACAATCAACTTCAAAGAGCTTTGATATTTTCAAGGAAGGGGCTTGTCCTGACAAATAATCTTGCTTCAAAAGTGAACTTCCATGTATTATAGAAATGTATTTATCGTGGATCACAATACTGCAACATTCAGATGTTGATCAGGTTTATATATAGTTTTGTATTATGCAGAAAATGTTACTTTCTTTGTCTTTTTACCAGTTCCATCAAGTGCCACAACCATGCAGCCTACAGCAACATCTAGTGAATCCTCACAACTTGGTAAAGAAATAGGTTTAATGAAACAAATTCCCAAATATTGTTGTCTTGACCGATTAGTTAAACAAAAATGAATTAAGCAAGGATGGCATTACATGATTTTGGTAAGGATATAATGAATTTGAATTGAGTTACAGAGATTGTAGAAGAGGTCAAATAAGCTGTCTCCACACAGCTTACCATTTATGTGTTGAAAACAAAATTATTACAATAGTTTTTTATTTTTTAATATTTTTGGTCTCTTAAAATCTGTTGTGCCTTGCAATAATAGCATAGGGTTTTAACTTTTGCTCTGTCGATGTGATATATATATGAGTGCCTATTAATATTTTTGTTTTTCTCTCATTTTTTGGGTAAGCTTTGACTAAACGTTTAATTTGCCAGTTTTCGCAAACCTCAAATTGGCAATTTGGTCTGTTGATTGAAATGTATTTACTATTTACAATCAACTGCAAAGAGAGTTTGTCATTTTTAGGGAAAGAGTGTGTTCTGACAAAACACTGTTGCTTCAAAAGTCAACTTACATGTGTTTTAGAAATGTATTTATCGTGGATTGCAATACTGCAATATTCAGATGTTGATCAGGTTTATATATAGTTTTGTATTATGCAGAAAATGTTACTTTCTTTGTCTTTTTACCAGTTCCATCAAGTGCCACAACCATGCAGCCTACAGCAACATCTAGTGAATCCTCACAACTTGGTAAAGAAATAGGTTTAATGAAACAAATTCCCAAATATTGTTGTCTTGACCGATTAGTTAAACAAAAATGAATTAAGCAAGGATGGCATTACATGATTTTGGTAAGGATATAATGAATTTGAATTGAGTTACAGAGATTGTAGAAGAGGTCAAATAAGCTGTCTCCACACAGCTTACCATTTATGTGTTGAAAACAAAATTATTACAATAGTTTTTTATTTTTTAATATTTTTGGTCTCTTAAAATCTGTTGTGCCTTGCAATAATAGCATAGGGTTTTAACTTTTGCTCTGTCGATGTGATATATATATGAGAGCCTATTAATATTTTTGTTTTTCTCTCATTTTTTGGGTAAGCTTTGACTAAACGTTTAATTTGCCAGTTTTCGCAAAACTCAAATTGGCAATTTGGTCTGTTGATTGAAATGTATTTACTATTTACAATCAACTGCAAAGAGAGTTTGTCATTTTTAGGGAAAGAGTGTGTTCTGACAAAACACTGTTGCTTCAAAAGTCAACTTACATGTGTTTTAGAAATGTATTTATCGTGGATTGCAATACTGCAACATTCAGATGTTGATCAGGTTTATATATAGTTTTGTATTATGCAGAAAATGTTACTTTCTTTGTCTTTTTACCAGTTCCATCAAGTGCCACAACCATGCAGCCTACAGCAACTTCTAGTGAATCCTCACAACTTGGTAAAGAAATAGGTTTAATGAAACAAATTCCCAAATATTGTTGTCTTGACCGATTAGTTAAACAAAAATGAATTAAGCAAGGATGGCATTACATGATTTTGGTAAGGATATAATGAATTTGAATTGAGTTACAGAGATTGTAGAAGAGGTCAAATAAGCTGTCTCCACACAGCTTACCATTTATGTGTTGAAAACAAAATTATTACAATAGTTTTTTATTTTTTAATATTTTTGGTCTCTTAAAATCTGTTGTGCCTTGCAATAATAGCATAGGGTTTTAACTTTTGCTCTGTCGATGTGATATATATATGAGAGCCTATTAATATTTTTGTTTTTCTCTCATTTTTTGGGTAAGCTTTGACTAAACGTTTAATTTGCCAGTTTTCGCAAAACTCAAATTGGCAATTTGGTCTGTTGATTGAAATGTATTTACTATTTACAATCAACTGCAAAGAGAGTTTGTCATTTTTAGGGAAAGAGTGTGTTCTGACAAAACACTGTTGCTTCAAAAGTCAACTTACATGTGTTTTAGAAATGTATTTATCGTGGATTGCAATACTGCGACATTCAGATGTTGATCAGGTTTATATATAGTTTTGTATTATGCAGAAAATGTTACTTTCTTTGTCTTTTTACCAGTTCCATCAAGTGCCACAACCATGCAGCCTACAGCAACATCTAGTGAATCCTCACAACTTGGTAAAGAAATAGGTTTAATGAAACAAATTCCCAAATATTGTTGTCTTGACCGATTAGTTAAACAAAAATGAATTAAGCAAGGATGGCATTACATGATTTTGGTAAGGATATAATGAATTTGAATTGAGTTACAGAGATTGTAGAAGAGGTCAAATAAGCTGTCTCCACACAGCTTACCATTTATGTGTTGAAAACAAAATTATTACAATAGTTTTTTATTTTTTAATATTTTTGGTCTCTTAAAATCTGTTGTGCCTTGCAATAATAGCATAGGGTTTTAACTTTTGCTCTGTCGATGTGATATATATATGAGAGCCTATTAATATTTTTGTTTTTCTCTCATTTTTTGGGTAAGCTTTGACTAAACGTTTAATTTGCCAGTTTTCGCAAAACTCAAATTGGCAATTTGGTCTGTTGATTGAAATGTATTTACTATTTACAATCAACTGCAAAGAGAGTTTGTCATTTTTAGGGGAAGAGTGTGTTCTGACAAAACACTGTTGCTTCAAAAGTCAACTTACATGTGTTTTAGAAATGTATTTATCGTGGATTGCAATACTGCAACATTCAGATGTTGATCAGGTTTATATATAGTTTTGTATTATGCAGAAAATGTTACTTTCTTTGTCTTTTTACCAGTTCCATCAAGTGCCACAACCATGCAGCCTACAGCAACATCTAGTGAATCCTCACAACTTGGTAAAGAAATAGGTTTAATGAAACAAATTCCCAAATATTGTTGTCTTGACCGATTAGTTAAACAAAAATGAATTAAGCAAGGATGGCATTACTTGATTTTGGTAAGGATATAATGAATTTGAATTGAGTTACAGAGATTGTAGAAGAGGTCAAATAAGCTGTCTCCACACAGCTTACCATTTATGTGTTGAAAAAAAAATTATTACAATAGTTTTTTATTTTTAAATATGTTTTTGTCTCTTAAAATCTGTTGTGCCTTGCAATAATAGCATAGGGTTTTAACTTTTGCTTTGTCGATGTGATATATATGAGAGCCTATTAATATTTTTGTTTTAATCTCATCTTGTTTTTGGTAAGCTTTGACTAAACGTTTAATTTGCCAGTTTTCGCAAAACTCAAATTGGCAATTTGGTCTGTTGATTGAAATGTATTTACTATTTACAATCAACTGCAAAGAGAATTTGTCATTTTTAGGGAAAGAGTGTGTTCTGACAAAACACTGTTGCTTCAAAAGTCAACTTACATGTGTTTTAGAAATGTATTTATCGTGGATTGCAATACTGCAACATTCAGATGTTGATCAGGTTTATATATAGTTTTGTATTATGCAGAAAATGTTACTTTCTTTGTCTTTTTACCAGTTCCATCAAGTGCCACAACCATGCAGCCTACAGCAACATCTAGTGAATCCTCACAACTTGGTAAAGAAATAGGTTTAATGAAACAAATTCCCAAATATTGTTGTCTTGACCGATTAGTTAAACAAAAATGAATTAAGCAAGGATGGCATTACATGATTTTGGTAAGGATATAATGAATTTGAATTGAGTTACAGAGATTGTAGAAGAGGTCAAATAAGCTGTCTCCACACAGCTTACCATTTATGTGTTGAAAACAAAATTATTACAATAGTTTTCTATTTTTTAATATTTTTGGTCTCTTAAAATCTGTTGTGCCTTGCAATAATAGCATAGGGTTTTAACTTTTGCTCTGTCGATGTGATATATATATGAGAGCCTATTAATATTTTTGTTTTTCTCTCATTTTTGGGGTAAGCTTTGACTAAACGTTTAATTTGCCAGTTTTCGCAAAACTCAAATTGGCAATTTGGTCTGTTAATTGAAATGTATTTACTATTTACAATCAACTGCAAAGAGAGTTTGTCATTTTTAGGGAAAGAGTGTGTTCTGACAAAACACTGTTGCTTCAAAAGTCAACTTACATGTGTTTTAGAAATGTATTTATCGTGGATTGCAATACTGCAACATTCAGATGTTGATCAGGTTTATATATAGTTTTGTATTATGCAGAAAATGTTACTTTCTTTGTCTTTTTACCAGTTCCATCAAGTGCCACAACCATGCAGCCTACAGCAACATCTAGTGAATCCTCACAACTTGGTAAAGAAATAGGTTTAATGAAACAAATTCCCAAATATTGTTGTCTTGACCGATTAGTTAAACAAAAATGAATTAAGCAAGGATGGCATTACATGATTTTGGTAAGGATATAATGAATTTGAATTGAGTTACAGAGATTGTAGAAGAGGTCAAATAAGCTGTCTCCACACAGCTTACCATTTATGTGTTGAAAACAAAATTATTACAATAGTTTTTTATTTTTTAATATTTTTGGTCTCTTAAAATCTGTTGTGCCTTGCAATAATAGCATAGGGTTTTAACTTTTGCTCTGTCGATGTGATATATATATGAGAGCCTATTAATATTTTTGTTTTTCTCTCATTTTTTGGGTAAGCTTTGACTAAACGTTTAATTTGCCAGTTTTCGCAAAACTCAAATTGGCAATTTGGTCTGTTGATTGAAATGTATTTACTATTTACAATCAACTGCAAAGAGAGTTTGTCATTTTTAGGGAAAGAGTGTGTTCTGACAAAACACTGTTGCTTCAAAAGTCAACTTACATGTGTTTTAGAAATGTATTTATCGTGGATTGCAATACTGCGACATTCAGATGTTGATCAGGTTTATATATAGTTTTGTATTATGCAGAAAATGTTACTTTCTTTGTCTTTTTACCAGTTCCATCAAGTGCCACAACCATGCAGCCTACAGCAACATCTAGTGAATCCTCACAACTTGGTAAAGAAATAGGTTTAATGAAACAAATTCCCAAATATTGTTGTCTTGACCGATTAGTTAAACAAAAATGAATTAAGCAAGGATGGCATTACATGATTTTGGTAAGGATATAATGAATTTGAATTGAGTTACAGAGATTGTAGAAGAGGTCAAATAAGCTGTCTCCACACAGCTTACCATTTATGTGTTGAAAACAAAATTATTACAATAGTTTTTTATTTTTTAATATTTTTGGTCTCTTAAAATCTGTTGTGCCTTGCAATAATAGCATAGGGTTTTAACTTTTGCTCTGTCGATGTGATATATATATGAGAGCCTATTAATATTTTTGTTTTTCTCTCATTTTTTGGGTAAGCTTTGACTAAACGTTTAATTTGCCAGTTTTCGCAAAACTCAAATTGGCAATTTGGTCTGTTGATTGAAATGTATTTACTATTTACAATCAACTGCAAAGAGAGTTTGTCATTTTTAGGGAAAGAGTGTGTTCTGACAAAACACTGTTGCTCCAAAGTCAACTTACATGTGTTTTAGAAATGTATTTATCGTGGATTGCAATACTGCAACATTCAGATGTTGATCAGGTTTATATATAGTTTTGTATTATGCAGAAAATGTTACTTTCTTTGTCTTTTTACCAGTTCCATCAAGTGCCACAACCATGCAGCCTACAGCAACATCTAGTGAATCCTCACAACTTGGTAAAGAAATAGGTTTAATGAAACAAATTCCCAAATATTGTTGTCTTGACCGATTAGTTAAACAAAAATGAATTAAGCAAGGATGGCATTACATGATTTTGGTAAGGATATAATGAATTTGAATTGAGTTACAGAGATTGTAGAAGAGGTCAAATAAGCTGTCTCCACACAGCTTACCATTTATGTGTTGAAAACAAAATTATTACAATAGTTTTTTATTTTTTAATATTTTTGGTCTCTTAAAATCTGTTGTGCCTTGCAATAATAGCATAGGGTTTTAACTTTTGCTCTGTCGATGTGATATATATATGAGAGCCTATTAATATTTTTGTTTTTCTCTCATTTTTTGGGTAAGCTTTGACTAAACGTTTAATTTGCCAGTTTTCGCAAAACTCAAATTGGCAATTTGGTCTGTTGATTGAAATGTATTTACTATTTACAATCAACTGCAAAGAGAGTTTGTCATTTTTAGGGAAAGAGTGTGTTCTGACAAAACACTGTTGCTTCAAAAGTCAACTTACATGTGTTTTAGAAATGTATTTATCGTGGATTGCAATACTGCAACATTCAGATGTTGATCAGGTTTATATATAGTTTTGTATTATGCAGAAAATGTTACTTTCTTTGTCTTTTTACCAGTTCCATCAAGTGCCACAACCATGCAGCCTACAGCAACATCTAGTGAATCCTCACAACTTGGTAAAGAAATAGGTTTAATGAAACAAATTCCCAAATATTGTTGTCTTGACCGATTAGTTAAACAAAAATGAATTAAGCAAGGATGGCATTACATGATTTTGGTAAGGATATAATGAATTTGAATTGAGTTACAGAGATTGTAGAAGAGGTCAAATAAGCTGTCTCCACACAGCTTACCATTTATGTGTTGAAAACAAAATTATTACAATAGTTTTTTATTTTTTAATATTTTTGGTCTCTTAAAATCTGTTGTGCCTTGCAATAATAGCATAGGGTTTTAACTTTTGCTCTGTCGATGTGATATATATATGAGAGCCTATTAATATTTTTGTTTTTCTCTCATTTTTTGGGTAAGCTTTGACTAAACGTTTAATTTGCCAGTTTTCGCAAAACTCAAATTGGCAATTTGGTCTGTTGATTGAAATGTATTTACTATTTACAATCAACTGCAAAGAGAGTTTGTCATTTTTAGGGAAAGAGTGTGTTCTGACAAAACACTGTTGCTTCAAAAGTCAACTTACATGTGTTTTAGAAATGTATTTATCGTGGATTGCAATACTGCGACATTCAGATGTTGATCAGGTTTATATATAGTTTTGTATTATGCAGAAAATGTTACTTTCTTTGTCTTTTTACCAGTTCCATCAAGTGCCACAACCATGCAGCCTACAGCAACATCTAGTGAATCCTCACAACTTGGTAAAGAAATAGGTTTAATGAAACAAATTCCCAAATATTGTTGTCTTGACCGATTAGTTAAACAAAAATGAATTAAGCAAGGATGGCATTACATGATTTTGGTAAGGATATAATGAATTTGAATTGAGTTACAGAGATTGTAGAAGAGGTCAAATAAGCTGTCTCCACACAGCTTACCATTTATGTGTTGAAAACAAAATTATTACAATAGTTTTTTATTTTTTAATATTTTTGGTCTCTTAAAATCTGTTGTGCCTTGCAATAATAGCATAGGGTTTTAACTTTTGCTCTGTCGATGTGATATATATATGAGAGCCTATTAATATTTTTGTTTTTCTCTCATTTTTTGGGTAAGCTTTGACTAAACGTTTAATTTGCCAGTTTTCGCAAAACTCAAATTGGCAATTTGGTCTGTTGATTGAAATGTATTTACTATTTACAATCAACTGCAAAGAGAGTTTGTCATTTTTAGGGGAAGAGTGTGTTCTGACAAAACACTGTTGCTTCAAAAGTCAACTTACATGTGTTTTAGAAATGTATTTATCGTGGATTGCAATACTGCAACATTCAGATGTTGATCAGGTTTATATATAGTTTTGTATTATGCAGAAAATGTTACTTTCTTTGTCTTTTTACCAGTTCCATCAAGTGCCACAACCATGCAGCCTACAGCAACATCTAGTGAATCCTCACAACTTGGTAAAGAAATAGGTTTAATGAAACAAATTCCCAAATATTGTTGTCTTGACCGATTAGTTAAACAAAAATGAATTAAGCAAGGATGGCATTACTTGATTTTGGTAAGGATATAATGAATTTGAATTGAGTTACAGAGATTGTAGAAGAGGTCAAATAAGCTGTCTCCACACAGCTTACCATTTATGTGTTGAAAAAAAAATTATTACAATAGTTTTTTATTTTTAAATATGTTTTTGTCTCTTAAAATCTGTTGTGCCTTGCAATAATAGCATAGGGTTTTAACTTTTGCTTTGTCGATGTGATATATATGAGAGCCTATTAATATTTTTGTTTTAATCTCATCTTGTTTTTGGTAAGCTTTGACTAAACGTTTAATTTGCCAGTTTTCGCAAAACTCAAATTGGCAATTTGGTCTGTTGATTGAAATGTATTTACTATTTACAATCAACTGCAAAGAGAATTTGTCATTTTTAGGGAAAGAGTGTGTTCTGACAAAACACTGTTGCTTCAAAAGTCAACTTACATGTGTTTTAGAAATGTATTTATCGTGGATTGCAATACTGCAACATTCAGATGTTGATCAGGTTTATATATAGTTTTGTATTATGCAGAAAATGTTACTTTCTTTGTCTTTTTACCAGTTCCATCAAGTGCCACAACCATGCAGCCTACAGCAACATCTAGTGAATCCTCACAACTTGGTAAAGAAATAGGTTTAATGAAACAAATTCCCAAATATTGTTGTCTTGACCGATTAGTTAAACAAAAATGAATTAAGCAAGGATGGCATTACATGATTTTGGTAAGGATATAATGAATTTGAATTGAGTTACAGAGATTGTAGAAGAGGTCAAATAAGCTGTCTCCACACAGCTTACCATTTATGTGTTGAAAACAAAATTATTACAATAGTTTTCTATTTTTTAATATTTTTGGTCTCTTAAAATCTGTTGTGCCTTGCAATAATAGCATAGGGTTTTAACTTTTGCTCTGTCGATGTGATATATATATGAGAGCCTATTAATATTTTTGTTTTTCTCTCATTTTTGGGGTAAGCTTTGACTAAACGTTTAATTTGCCAGTTTTCGCAAAACTCAAATTGGCAATTTGGTCTGTTAATTGAAATGTATTTACTATTTACAATCAACTGCAAAGAGAGTTTGTCATTTTTAGGGAAAGAGTGTGTTCTGACAAAACACTGTTGCTTCAAAAGTCAACTTACATGTGTTTTAGAAATGTATTTATCGTGGATTGCAATACTGCAACATTCAGATGTTGATCAGGTTTATATATAGTTTTGTATTATGCAGAAAATGTTACTTTCTTTGTCTTTTTACCAGTTCCATCAAGTGCCACAACCATGCAGCCTACAGCAACATCTAGTGAATCCTCACAACTTGGTAAAGAAATAGGTTTAATGAAACAAATTCCCAAATATTGTTGTCTTGACCGATTAGTTAAACAAAAATGAATTAAGCAAGGATGGCATTACATGATTTTGGTAAGGATATAATGAATTTGAATTGAGTTACAGAGATTGTAGAAGAGGTCAAATAAGCTGTCTCCACACAGCTTACCATTTATGTGTTGAAAACAAAATTATTACAATAGTTTTTTATTTTTTAATATTTTTGGTCTCTTAAAATCTGTTGTGCCTTGCAATAATAGCATAGGGTTTTAACTTTTGCTCTGTCGATGTGATATATATATGAGAGCCTATTAATATTTTTGTTTTTCTCTCATTTTTTGGGTAAGCTTTGACTAAACGTTTAATTTGCCAGTTTTCGCAAAACTCAAATTGGCAATTTGGTCTGTTGATTGAAATGTATTTACTATTTACAATCAACTGCAAAGAGAGTTTGTCATTTTTAGGGAAAGAGTGTGTTCTGACAAAACACTGTTGCTTCAAAAGTCAACTTACATGTGTTTTAGAAATGTATTTATCGTGGATTGCAATACTGCGACATTCAGATGTTGATCAGGTTTATATATAGTTTTGTATTATGCAGAAAATGTTACTTTCTTTGTCTTTTTACCAGTTCCATCAAGTGCCACAACCATGCAGCCTACAGCAACATCTAGTGAATCCTCACAACTTGGTAAAGAAATAGGTTTAATGAAACAAATTCCCAAATATTGTTGTCTTGACCGATTAGTTAAACAAAAATGAATTAAGCAAGGATGGCATTACATGATTTTGGTAAGGATATAATGAATTTGAATTGAGTTACAGAGATTGTAGAAGAGGTCAAATAAGCTGTCTCCACACAGCTTACCATTTATGTGTTGAAAACAAAATTATTACAATAGTTTTTTATTTTTTAATATTTTTGGTCTCTTAAAATCTGTTGTGCCTTGCAATAATAGCATAGGGTTTTAACTTTTGCTCTGTCGATGTGATATATATATGAGAGCCTATTAATATTTTTGTTTTTCTCTCATTTTTTGGGTAAGCTTTGACTAAACGTTTAATTTGCCAGTTTTCGCAAAACTCAAATTGGCAATTTGGTCTGTTGATTGAAATGTATTTACTATTTACAATCAACTGCAAAGAGAGTTTGTCATTTTTAGGGAAAGAGTGTGTTCTGACAAAACACTGTTGCTCCAAAGTCAACTTACATGTGTTTTAGAAATGTATTTATCGTGGATTGCAATACTGCAACATTCAGATGTTGATCAGGTTTATATATAGTTTTGTATTATGCAGAAAATGTTACTTTCTTTGTCTTTTTACCAGTTCCATCAAGTGCCACAACCATGCAGCCTACAGCAACATCTAGTGAATCCTCACAACTTGGTAAAGAAATAGGTTTAATGAAACAAATTCCCAAATATTGTTGTCTTGACCGATTAGTTAAACAAAAATGAATTAAGCAAGGATGGCATTACATGATTTTGGTAAGGATATAATGAATTTGAATTGAGTTACAGAGATTGTAGAAGAGGTCAAATAAGCTGTCTCCACACAGCTTACCATTTATGTGTTGAAAACAAAATTATTACAATAGTTTTTTATTTTTTAATATTTTTGGTCTCTTAAAATCTGTTGTGCCTTGCAATAATAGCATAGGGTTTTAACTTTTGCTCTGTCGATGTGATATATATATGAGAGCCTATTAATATTTTTGTTTTTCTCTCATTTTTTGGGTAAGCTTTGACTAAACGTTTAATTTGCCAGTTTTCGCAAAACTCAAATTGGCAATTTGGTCTGTTGATTGAAATGTATTTACTATTTACAATCAACTGCAAAGAGAGTTTGTCATTTTTAGGGAAAGAGTGTGTTCTGACAAAACACTGTTGCTTCAAAAGTCAACTTACATGTGTTTTAGAAATGTATTTATCGTGGATTGCAATACTGCAACATTCAGATGTTGATCAGGTTTATATATAGTTTTGTATTATGCAGAAAATGTTACTTTCTTTGTCTTTTTACCAGTTCCATCAAGTGCCACAACCATGCAGCCTACAGCAACATCTAGTGAATCCTCACAACTTGGTAAAGAAATAGGTTTAATGAAACAAATTCCCAAATATTGTTGTCTTGACCGATTAGTTAAACAAAAATGAATTAAGCAAGGATGGCATTACATGATTTTGGTAAGGATATAATGAATTTGAATTGAGTTACAGAGATTGTAGAAGAGGTCAAATAAGCTGTCTCCACACAGCTTACCATTTATGTGTTGAAAACAAAATTATTACAATAGTTTTCTATTTTTTAATATTTTTGGTCTCTTAAAATCTGTTGTGCCTTGCAATAATAGCATAGGGTTTTAACTTTTGCTCTGTCGATGTGATATATATATGAGAGCCTATTAATATTTTTGTTTTTCTCTCATTTTTTGGGTAAGCTTTGACTAAACGTTTAATTTGCCAGTTTTCGCAAAACTCAAATTTGCAATTTGGTCTGTTAATTGAAATGTATTTACTATTTACAATCAACTGCAAAGAGAGTTTGTCATTTTTAGGGAAAGAGTGTGTTCTGACAAAACACTGTTGCTTCAAAAGTCAACTTACATGTGTTTTAGAAATGTATTTATCGTGGATTGCAATACTGCAACATTCAGATGTTGATCAGGTTTATATATAGTTTTGTATTATGCAGAAAATGTTACTTTCTTTGTCTTTTTACCAGTTCCATCAAGTGCCACAACCATGCAGCCTACAGCAACATCTAGTGAATCCTCACAACTTGGTAAAGAAATAGGTTTAATGAAACAAATTCCCAAATATTGTTGTCTTGACCGATTAGTTAAACAAAAATGAATTAAGCAAGGATGGCATTACATGATTTTGGTAAGGATATAATGAATTTGAATTGAGTTACAGAGATTGTAGAAGAGGTCAAATAAGTTGTCTCCACACAGCTTACCATTTATGTGTTGAAAACAAAATTATTACAATAGTTTTCTATTTTTTAATATTTTTGGTCTCTTAAAATCTGTTGTGCCTTGCAATAATAGCATAGGGTTTTAACTTTTGCTCTCTCGATGTGATATATATATGAGAGCCTATTAATATTTTTGTTTTTCTCTCATTTTTTGGGTAAGCTTTGACTAAACGTTTAATTTGCCAGTTTTCGCAAAACTCAAATTGGCAATTTGGTCTGTTAATTGAAATGTATTTACTATTTACAATCAACTGCAAAGAGAGTTTGTCATTTTTAGGGAAAGAGTGTGTTCTGACAAAACACTGTTGCTTCAAAAGTCAACTTACATGTGTTTTAGAAATGTATTTATCGTGGATTGCAATACTGCAACATTCAGATGTTGATCAGGTTTATATATAGTTTTGTATTATGCAGAAAATGTTACTTTCTTTGTCTTTTTACCAGTTCCATCAAGTGCCACAACCATGCAGCCTACAGCAACATCTAGTGAATCCTCACAACTTGGTAAAGAAATAGGTTTAATGAAACAAATTCCCAAATATTGTTGTCTTGACCGATTAGTTAAACAAAAATGAATTAAGCAAGGATGGCATTACATGATTTTGGTAAGGATATAATGAATTTGAATTGAGTTACAGAGATTGTAGAAGAGGTCAAATAAGCTGTCTCCACACAGCTTACCATTTATGTGTTGAAAACAAAATTATTACAATAGTTTTTTATTTTTTAATATTTTTGGTCTCTTAAAATCTGTTGTGCCTTGCAATAATAGCATAGGGTTTTAACTTTTGCTCTGTCGATGTGATATATATATGAGAGCCTATTAATATTTTTGTTTTTCTCTCATTTTTTGGGTAAGCTTTGACTAAACGTTTAATTTGCCAGTTTTCGCAAAACTCAAATTGGCAATTTGGTCTGTTGATTGAAATGTATTTACTATTTACAATCAACTGCAAAGAGAGTTTGTCATTTTTAGGGAAAGAGTGTGTTCTGACAAAACACTGTTGCTTCAAAAGTCAACTTACATGTGTTTTAGAAATGTATTTATCGTGGATTGCAATACTGCAACATTCAGATGTTGATCAGGTTTATATATAGTTTTGTATTATGCAGAAAATGTTACTTTCTTTGTCTTTTTACCAGTTCCATCAAGTGCCACAACCATGCAGCCTACAGCAACATCTAGTGAATCCTCACAACTTGGTAAAGAAATAGGTTTAATGAAACAAATTCCCAAATATTGTTGTCTTGACCGATTAGTTAAACAAAAATGAATTAAGCAAGGATGGCATTACATGATTTTGGTAAGGATATAATGAATTTGAATTGAGTTACAGAGATTGTAGAAGAGGTCAAATAAGCTGTCTCCACACAGCTTACCATTTATGTGTTGAAAACAAAATTATTACAATAGTTTTCTATTTTTTAATATTTTTGGTCTCTTAAAATCTGTTGTGCCTTGCAATAATAGCATAGGGTTTTAACTTTTGCTCTGTCGATGTGATATATATATGAGAGCCTATTAATATTTTTGTTTTTCTCTCATTTTTGGGGTAAGCTTTGACTAAACGTTTAATTTGCCAGTTTTCGCAAAACTCAAATTGGCAATTTGGTCTGTTGATTGAAATGTATTTACTATTTACAATCAACTGCAAAGAGAGTTTGTCATTTTTAGGGAAAGAGTGTGTTCTGACAAAACACTGTTGCTCCAAAGTCAACTTACATGTGTTTTAGAAATGTATTTATCGTGGATTGCAATACTGCAACATTCAGATGTTGATCAGGTTTATATATAGTTTTGTATTATGCAGAAAATGTTACTTTCTTTGTCTTTTTACCAGTTCCATCAAGTGCCACAACCATGCAGCCTACAGCAACATCTAGTGAATCCTCACAACTTGGTAAAGAAATAGGTTTAATGAAACAAATTCCCAAATATTGTTGTCTTGACCGATTAGTTAAACAAAAATGAATTAAGCAAGGATGGCATTACATGATTTTGGTAAGGATATAATGAATTTGAATTGAGTTACAGAGATTGTAGAAGAGGTCAAATAAGCTGTCTCCACACAGCTTACCATTTATGTGTTGAAAACAAAATTATTACAATAGTTTTTTATTTTTTAATATTTTTGGTCTCTTAAAATCTGTTGTGCCTTGCAATAATAGCATAGGGTTTTAACTTTTGCTCTGTCGATGTGATATATATATGAGAGCCTATTAATATTTTTGTTTTTCTCTCATTTTTTGGGTAAGCTTTGACTAAACGTTTAATTTGCCAGTTTTCGCAAAACTCAAATTGGCAATTTGGTCTGTTGATTGAAATGTATTTACTATTTACAATCAACTGCAAAGAGAGTTTGTCATTTTTAGGGAAAGAGTGTGTTCTGACAAAACACTGTTGCTTCAAAAGTCAACTTACATGTGTTTTAGAAATGTATTTATCGTGGATTGCAATACTGCAACATTCAGATGTTGATCAGGTTTATATATAGTTTTGTATTATGCAGAAAATGTTACTTTCTTTGTCTTTTTACCAGTTCCATCAAGTGCCACAACCATGCAGCCTACAGCAACATCTAGTGAATCCTCACAACTTGGTAAAGAAATAGGTTTAATGAAACAAATTCCCAAATATTGTTGTCTTGACCGATTAGTTAAACAAAAATGAATTAAGCAAGGATGGCATTACATGATTTTGGTAAGGATATAATGAATTTGAATTGAGTTACAGAGATTGTAGAAGAGGTCAAATAAGCTGTCTCCACACAGCTTACCATTTATGTGTTGAAAACAAAATTATTACAATAGTTTTCTATTTTTTAATATTTTTGGTCTCTTAAAATCTGTTGTGCCTTGCAATAATAGCATAGGGTTTTAACTTTTGCTCTGTCGATGTGATATATATATGAGAGCCTATTAATATTTTTGTTTTTCTCTCATTTTTTGGGTAAGCTTTGACTAAACGTTTAATTTGCCAGTTTTCGCAAAACTCAAATTTGCAATTTGGTCTGTTAATTGAAATGTATTTACTATTTACAATCAACTGCAAAGAGAGTTTGTCATTTTTAGGGAAAGAGTGTGTTCTGACAAAACACTGTTGCTTCAAAAGTCAACTTACATGTGTTTTAGAAATGTATTTATCGTGGATTGCAATACTGCAACATTCAGATGTTGATCAGGTTTATATATAGTTTTGTATTATGCAGAAAATGTTACTTTCTTTGTCTTTTTACCAGTTCCATCAAGTGCCACAACCATGCAGCCTACAGCAACATCTAGTGAATCCTCACAACTTGGTAAAGAAATAGGTTTAATGAAACAAATTCCCAAATATTGTTGTCTTGACCGATTAGTTAAACAAAAATGAATTAAGCAAGGATGGCATTACATGATTTTGGTAAGGATATAATGAATTTGAATTGAGTTACAGAGATTGTAGAAGAGGTCAAATAAGTTGTCTCCACACAGCTTACCATTTATGTGTTGAAAACAAAATTATTACAATAGTTTTCTATTTTTTAATATTTTTGGTCTCTTAAAATCTGTTGTGCCTTGCAATAATAGCATAGGGTTTTAACTTTTGCTCTCTCGATGTGATATATATATGAGAGCCTATTAATATTTTTGTTTTTCTCTCATTTTTTGGGTAAGCTTTGACTAAACGTTTAATTTGCCAGTTTTCGCAAAACTCAAATTGGCAATTTGGTCTGTTAATTGAAATGTATTTACTATTTACAATCAACTGCAAAGAGAGTTTGTCATTTTTAGGGAAAGAGTGTGTTCTGACAAAACACTGTTGCTTCAAAAGTCAACTTACATGTGTTTTAGAAATGTATTTATCGTGGATTGCAATACTGCAACATTCAGATGTTGATCAGGTTTATATATAGTTTTGTATTATGCAGAAAATGTTACTTTCTTTGTCTTTTTACCAGTTCCATCAAGTGCCACAACCATGCAGCCTACAGCAACATCTAGTGAATCCTCACAACTTGGTAAAGAAATAGGTTTAATGAAACAAATTCCCAAATATTGTTGTCTTGACCGATTAGTTAAACAAAAATGAATTAAGCAAGGATGGCATTACATGATTTTGGTAAGGATATAATGAATTTGAATTGAGTTACAGAGATTGTAGAAGAGGTCAAATAAGCTGTCTCCACACAGCTTACCATTTATGTGTTGAAAACAAAATTATTACAATAGTTTTTTATTTTTTAATATTTTTGGTCTCTTAAAATCTGTTGTGCCTTGCAATAATAGCATAGGGTTTTAACTTTTGCTCTGTCGATGTGATATATATATGAGAGCCTATTAATATTTTTGTTTTTCTCTCATTTTTTGGGTAAGCTTTGACTAAACGTTTAATTTGCCAGTTTTCGCAAAACTCAAATTGGCAATTTGGTCTGTTGATTGAAATGTATTTACTATTTACAATCAACTGCAAAGAGAGTTTGTCATTTTTAGGGAAAGAGTGTGTTCTGACAAAACACTGTTGCTTCAAAAGTCAACTTACATGTGTTTTAGAAATGTATTTATCGTGGATTGCAATACTGCAACATTCAGATGTTGATCAGGTTTATATATAGTTTTGTATTATGCAGAAAATGTTACTTTCTTTGTCTTTTTACCAGTTCCATCAAGTGCCACAACCATGCAGCCTACAGCAACATCTAGTGAATCCTCACAACTTGGTAAAGAAATAGGTTTAATGAAACAAATTCCCAAATATTGTTGTCTTGACCGATTAGTTAAACAAAAATGAATTAAGCAAGGATGGCATTACATGATTTTGGTAAGGATATAATGAATTTGAATTGAGTTACAGAGATTGTAGAAGAGGTCAAATAAGCTGTCTCCACACAGCTTACCATTTATGTGTTGAAAACAAAATTATTACAATAGTTTTCTATTTTTTAATATTTTTGGTCTCTTAAAATCTGTTGTGCCTTGCAATAATAGCATAGGGTTTTAACTTTTGCTCTGTCGATGTGATATATATATGAGAGCCTATTAATATTTTTGTTTTTCTCTCATTTTTGGGGTAAGCTTTGACTAAACGTTTAATTTGCCAGTTTTCGCAAAACTCAAATTGGCAATTTGGTCTGTTAATTGAAATGTATTTACTATTTACAATCAACTGCAAAGAGAGTTTGTCATTTTTAGGGAAAGAGTGTGTTCTGACAAAACACTGTTGCTTCAAAAGTCAACTTACATGTGTTTTAGAAATGTATTTATCGTGGATTGCAATACTGCAACATTCAGATGTTGATCAGGTTTATATATAGTTTTGTATTATGCAGAAAATGTTACTTTCTTTGTCTTTTTACCAGTTCCATCAAGTGCCACAACCATGCAGCCTACAGCAACATCTAGTGAATCCTCACAACTTAGTAAAGAAATAGGTTTAATGAAACAAATTCCCAAATATTGTTGTCTTGACCGATAAGTTAAACAAAAATGAATTAAGCAAGGATGGCATTACTTGATTTTGGTAAGGATATAATGAATTTGAATTGATTTACAGAGATTGTAGAAGAGGTCAAACAAGCTGTCTCCACACAGCTTACCATTTATGCGTTGACAAAAAAAAATTATTCAACATTTTTTTATTTTTAAATATTTTTTTGTCTCTTAAAATCTGTTGTGGCTTGCAATAATAGCATAGGGTTTTAACTTTTGCTCTGTCGATGTGATGTATATGAGAGCCTATTAATATTTTTGTTTTAATCTCATCTTGTTTTTGGTAAGCTTTGACTAAACGTTTAATTTGCCAGTTTCGCAAAACTCAAATTGGCAATTTGGTCTGTTGATTGAAATGTATTTACTATTTACAATCAACTGCAAAGAGAGTTTGTCATTTTTAGGGAAAGAGTGTGTTCTGACAAAACACTGTTGCTACAAAAGTCAACTTACATGTGTTTTTAGAAATGTATTTAGCGCGGAATGCAATACTGTGAAATTCAGATGTTGATCAGGTTGATATATATAGTTTTGTATTATGCAGAAAATTGTACTTTCTTTGTCTCTTTTCCAGTTCCATCAAGTGCCACAACCATGCAGCCTACAGCAACACCTAGTGAAACCTCACAACTTGGTAAAGAATAGATTTAATGAAACAAATTCACAAATTTTAATGTCTTGACTGATTTGTAAACAAAATAAGCAAGGATTGCAATATATGCAACAGTAAAGATGAAATGAATTTAAATTGATTTTATAGAGATAGTAGAAGAGGTCAAACAAGTTGTCTCCACACAGTTTACTATTTCCGCGTTTCGAAAAAAAAGAAATAAAATGTGTGTTTTTTTAAGGTCTCGAAGAAATATCAAATGATATGTATATTGCTCAGCCTATGTCATATATAAGAGAGCCTAGTTTTATCCATTGTTTATGTTTTGTATCATATATTTTCTTGGTAAATTTTGTCTCAGCCAACAATATGTGATTGGAATAATTTTTTGAGATAGCAAACTTAGGTCACACGCAAGCTATGGTAACACCACCATTCATGAGTTTATCTAAGAAGCATTGTTTGTGTCTTAGTAAGATCTTGAAATTCATTAAAAACCCTTTGCACAGCAAAAGTAAGAGAGCAATTTGACGTCTGGACTTTATATTATTTGTGTGAAAGCATTGGACAAATATTAAGAAAATTGTAAGTGTTTGAAATATGAGATCACCAAGTCTATGCAAACCTCAAATTGGCAATTTAGTTGGTGGATTGTGATGTATTCACTATTTGCCCACCTACCTGGCTTCCACTGTCAGTTGCTGACAATTTGCGACCACATATCTGCACATCTTCATGTTTTCCTTCTCTATTTACAATCAACTTCAAAGAGCTTTCATATTTTCAAGGAAGGGGCTTGTCCTGACAAATAATCTTGCTTCAAAAGTGAACTTCCATGTATTATAGAAATGTATTTATCGTGGATCACAATACTGCAACATTCAGATGTTGATCAGGTTTGTATATAGTTTTGTATTATGCAGAAAATGTTACTTTCTTTGTCTCTTTTCTAGTTCCATCAAGTGCCACAACCATGCAGCCTACAGCAACATCTAGTGAAACCTCACAACTTGGTAAAGAAATAGGTTTAATGAAACACATTCCCAAATATTGTTGTCTTGACCGATTAGTTAAACAAAAATGAATTAAGCAAGGATGGCATTACTTGATTTTGGTAAGGATATAATGAATTTGAATTGAGTTACAGAGATTGTAGAAGAGGTCAAACAAGCTGTCTCCACACAGCTTACCATTTATGCGTTGACAAAAAAAATTATTACAATATTTTTTTATTTTTAAATATTTTTTTGTCTCTTAAAATCGGTTGTGCCTTGCAATAATAGCATAGGGTTTTAACTTTTGCTCTGTCGATGTGATATATATGAGAGCCTATTAATATTTTTGTTTTAATCTCATTTTTTTTTGGTAAGCTTTGACTAAACGTTTAATTTGCCAGTTTTCGCAAAACTCAAATTGGCAATTTGGTCTGTAGATTGAAATGTATTTACTATTTACAATCAACTGCAAAGAGAGTTTGTCATTTTTAGGGAAAGAGTGTGTTTTGACAAAACACAGTTGCTTCAAAAGTCAACTTACATGTGTTTTAGAAATGTATTTAGCGTGGAATGCAATACTGTGAAATTTAGATGTTGATCAGGTTTATATATAGTTTTGTATTATACAGAAAATTGTACTTTCTTTGTCTTTTTTCAGTTCCATCAAGTGCCACAACCATGCAGCCTACAGCAAAACCTAGTGCAACCTCACAATTAGGTAAAGAGATAGGTTTAATAAAACAAATTCATAAATATTGTTGTCTTGACCGATTAGTTAAACAAAAATGAATTAAGCAAGGATGGCATTACTTGATTTTGGTAAGGATATAATGAATTTGAATTGATTTACAGAGATTGTAGAAGAGGTCGAACAAGCTGTCTCCACACAGCTTGACATTTTGGAACTTGTAAATATATATATATATATGCTTAAATGTGAAATTCAAAGGAAATCCCAAAATGTGAACTAATGTATTACTAGAAACTGGTAAGCTAACAGATGGCCATAGTACAAGTTTTAGGTCAACTACATATTGGATGATTTATAAAAATACAAATACAACCACCTCCATAGCAGCAGGGATATACGAGAGATTCGCCGGAAAAATAAACAATGTTTTTCTGACGTCACTATATGGACTAATACTGCCCAAGCAGACGACATCCCATAAAGAATGAACATAATTGCAAAGCTATTATTTGTCAAATGATTATGAGTTTAGTGTATATAAATGTAAGGGCATGTTAAACCATTCAAAAGGCGATATGACCCGATTCTGATAACTAAAATCTTTTGCTTGTAAATACATCTGATAGGGGTTAATTAACATTCAACATTCATTTTTTGTAATATTCTCATGTAATCTAACACTGCGATCTCAAAGACTTCAAAAATGTAATCAACCTTTTCCCGATCAATAGCAGATTTCTGCACAATGCAATCTCATGTCCAGAACTCAACCATTGAAGTAAGCAATTGCAAATGACCATCAATATCAGCATCATTATTTATTATTATTATTTTCATTATTAATATCATTATTATCATTGTTAATAGTATAACCATTTTTATTAAAGTAAGATTGTATTCACATTTTTTATTTTAACACTTTTCCATAGATGAGTGTGCGACAAATACAAGTCTCTGTAATAATGGAAGATGTGTCAACTTGGATGGATCATACACTTGTGTCTGCAACGATGGGTTCACATTAGTCAATGCAAATTCTTGCAATGGTATGTGTAAATACAAATTTTCCTTTTTCGATGGCATACGGAATAATGTAGGTTCTATAACCAACTTTGTAAAATAGAAAAAACAGAAAGATAGAAACAAACAAAGTAATATCAAGTTCATTCATGCAGAAATGAATGAAGGCATGATTTATTATCCAAATAAAATTTGTTTTAGCTTTGGTGCAAGTGATTTCATACTTACATACTTCAAACGTGTGTAACCACTTTTCAAATTAAACCAACAAAATATGGGGAGCATTCAAATTCGTGCCAGACAGAATGTGGTAGTAATTTGGCCATTTAGTCTGGTGAACAGGCATGCATTTGTGAAATATGTTCAATATATTTCATCTAATGTTAATTGGTCAAACATAATATAAACAGTTATAGCCCAGTCATACCAAGACGTTTTAGAGAAAATTATAGCTAGCGTATGAAATTTCATGAAATAATGTCAAAACGTCGGCGTATGCCCCGTAAAACATTGAAAATTCTGCAGAATGAATAATTTGGGCGTATGCATAACGTAATTGAACGTATACATATCGTATGTCTAACCTATTAGTAACCTATCACTAACTTATGACAGTGTATGACAGCGAATCACAGCGTATGGTCAGGTCATGTCTAGCATTCTCGACCTACTATGCCCAACGTATGAGTAGCTTATGAGAAAACTATGCGCAGCGCTCGGCGTGTTGCCGAAGATCATGTGACGTTCTGCATAAATATGGCGCCGATTTCTACAGTACCGCATTTATACAGTAGTCGGCGAGCTATCAACATCAAAATGGCACCCAAGAAATCGCAAAAGACAGCAACCAAGAAGTCTGTCAGTAGCCGAGGTAGAGGCAAGAAGAACCCATCTATGCCATCATCCTCACCTTCATCCTCACCGCCATCGTCTAAAGCAGCCGATTCACTTCCTCATGATATCCCTGCTGTGCCCCATACCGGCCGCTCGCAATCACCATGCTCTCCATCTCGTCCTTCCGATGATGGTTTCCGTGCCTCCCGTGCCTCTTCTGTTGACTCAGTTGCTGCATCTGTTGCCTGAAGCTCTTTGCTCCCTGTCAGTAAAGATGAGGAGCTCATGCTTGAATTCCTCCAAGACAATCCTGTCCTCTGGAACATGAAGTTGACGAACTACAGGAGGACTGACAAGACAAACAAGATATGGGATGACCAGGCACAGCAGATGGGCAAGAACTCCTCAGGGGATGGTTTAAGTCACTCAGAGACAACCACACACGCCTTGACAGGAAGAAGAGTGGAGATGGTGCCCCTGAGCTCACTGAGAGGGAAGAGTGGATCATGGCAAAGTTTGGATTCCTGAAAACCGTCATCCGACACCGTCCTGAGCCTTGCAAAAGTGTAAGTATAAACAAGTTTACTATTTGGGAGGCCTTGTTCTTTTAAAGGCGATTCAATTTGCATATATTTTTCGTACCACCTACAGCTTCCATACTTGCACAAGATGATTATGACTAGCTTGCCTACTTGTTCAGCTTCATCGACTTAGCCAATTCCACCGCTAAGTTTTCGTATTTAATTGTTTATGTCCTCGTTCCGGGGATAGCTGCCACACTCTGATGGCTATTGTTTCGTATTTGTCTTTGCAGGTGAAGGCCACTATTGTTTATGTCCTCGGTCAGGGGATAGCTGCCACACTCTGATGGCTATTGTTTCGTATTTGTCTTTGCAGGTGAAGGCCACTATTGACTCACTTGTCGGAGACCTAGGTGCTGCTGAGGCTGCCTGTGCCGAGCGGCAAATTGGTCCAAAGGAGGCTGACATCATCCATACCATCCCTTCAGCCTCACGGCGCAAGCGGGATGACAACGGCGCTGTCCTGGAATCCCTCCAGAAGAGAGTGCAGGAGTCTGGTGAGATCCTCAAAGGCCTCAGCGATGCACACCAGCAGCCACCTACGTCCGTGAAAGCTTGATCAGCATGTCCAAGCCCAAGTTCAGGAAGCCAAGATCAGCTATCAACAAGATACTGTCGCGGTCGATGGAGGAGGACAGTGATGATGACATCCCAAGTTTCATGGGAGGCCCCGCCATGCCTGAACCACTACCTCACAGCTCGACACCATCCTCGTATTCTGTCTCATCACCATCCTGAGATGTATCAACCACCTCCCCCACATGTGGAGACACAAGGCACCACCTGCTTCAGTCTGGGGTTCACAGACACATGAACACATGCAGCAAACAATGCAGTATCAGCAGCGTTTTGCTCCGAAAATGATGCCCCCTCCTCCCTCTACCTGCAAACCAGCAGCAGCAACAATAGCATCATCAGCACACTTCCACCTCGGTGTCTGCGGCTTTGGGATCGGCTGACCAGAGCTCAACCCCCCTTCAAGACAGCCCTAACCTTTCGACCATGTCCAACCTTTCTGGATTGAGTGGATTACTCGTGGTGTGGAGTTGGAGGATGTGGATATGAAAACACCACCACCAGCAAAGAAATAACCATCAGTGACTGTACCGACTGTTGTGCCATCCTAGAGATGAGCAGTGACTGTGTTTTATATGATGTTCCATTATTACCCTCATTACCATGATTATCATATGCCAATCTTATTGATCAGTTGATCATTTCAATAAAAGTTTAATAAGTTCTAAGTTTCAAGTTTTATTTATCTTTCTTTCATAAGACACATTACAAATATGACATGAATATAATAATTTGACAGAATATGGCGTTACAATATAAACTATTTATATACTAATCAATAATTATGAATATACAATATTCGGAAAATAGTATCAATTCTTCAAAGTTCATAAAAGATTTTTGTGAAATGCATGGGGGAAATCATGTTTTGGGGGATAAAAAGGCAAATTAATGGGATTAAACTATATAAAGCAATTGATAAATAGTGAGGACATGACGTCACAAACTGATAACCAAATTGGTAATTTGTGTTGTAATTTCCATTGTTCCATAGTTTTACATCCTTTTTCAAAAATTCATAACTTTCTTTTTAGTTCTCTGATTTTGCTCAAAACTTTTTTTCATCGGTTTGTCTGATTTTTCTGCTTCTATTGAAAGTAAGTTATTTTTGTAGTGGACTTGTACTTTAAGTCATGTATGTATATTGCAGAGCCAATGAACATATGAGATGTTGGGCTTACAAGGTCAAGGGTCAAATGTCACATGACTCGTTATGTATGCAAAAATAGCTTGTGATCGCGTTTTCTCAAGAACAAATTAATGGATTACCGCCACACTTGGGTCATGTATGTATCTTGCAGATCCAATGAACTGATAAGATGTTGGGGTCACGATGTCAAAGTTTATCTTGCAGAGCCCATGACCTGATAAGATTTTAGGGTAATGAGGTCAGAGGTCAAATATCAAAGGGTCATACATGTATATGGAAAATGGCTTGTAATCACCATATTCTGAGAACGTGTTAATGGATTACAATCAAGCTTGAATTTTCAAAATTGCTTCTATTTTGGTTTGTAAAATCGCTCTATGGCGGAGGCATCATTTTCGACTGCGCGTAGTTGAAGATCCATCTAGATGTTCATGTGTTTTCTCGAACTCAAAAATGTAAACTTTTAAGGTGTCATTTCCCTCAGAAATGTAAATCGGGCCAAAAAAAAAAATTATGTATTTATCAACATATAAAACTTGGTATTTAAGGGTATGAATAATTTAGATCTTAACTGTACAAGTACATGAATGAAAATTAATTGATACAACTCCTTATGAATCATCCGACTAGGCTGGTCTTGCAAATATTTTACACATTCCATGCGTATTATGAAAATCTTGTTTGATGTAAGTACGCAAACGAGTGTATTAATTATTTTTGTTCATGGACGAAACACATTAAAATATCCATACATATTTTGACTTCATGCCATTTTTTTCTTTCTCTGTATATCCAGCTCTCTCAAGCAGTCTGTTCACTAGTCGAGTGACTGTGCAGATTACAGGACAAAGTCTGAATGGTCAAGCCCTAACGTATACACCAGAATTAACCAATAGGTCATCGGCCAAATTCATGGAATATGAAGTTGCATTCTGTTACATTGTAAGTATATCTTTCTTCACCAGTAAATGCTAGAAAATTGATGACAATTTTGTAGACGTAAATATGTAAAAGTGGGTGCCTCTTCAGCTTGTAAATCCAACAATCTACATACACACCATCGCATTAAGATGTTTGTACATATGTCAGAAAGTACAGTGGTCTTCTGGAACTTTGTAATAAAGTGATGGTTCCTTCTGAAAAGTGCTACATGTAGATCCATTACAAACAAGAGAGAATATACTTGTAGTCCTTTGTTTGGCCTCGGTCACTGAGGGTGTTGCGGAAGGCATTGTTGTATCGACTTGCCCGTACGTCTAACAAATGACAAATGTGTACACGAAAATAGTGATAAATGATTAGTTGCAATTAAATAGCTTTAATTTGAGAATGGCATATTGTACTGCATGAGAGTCAACTTTTTGTGGAAGATTTTTGCTCATGTATAATGTGTACTACCTAGCATTCTGGATCTAAAGATAAAACAAAAATGTCTCTAAGAGGAGACGCTGTACTACTATGGCTTAATAATGATCATTTTAATGATTCCAGAACCTCACAGTGTGCCTTAATTTCTCTGAACTACATAATCAATCTTTCTCTATTAATTAGTTTAATTAATTTGTCAGTGCATGACTGGAACTGTACTTTTATCTATGAAAACAATAAAAGTATGAACTACATTATGTATCTTAGCTCATTCTGATTGTTGTTTTCTCTACTTTCTCATTTAACAGTTCAGCCAATATGTAAGGGTACAGTTAGGTTCTCAACTTGTCGGTGATAATTGCATAGTGCTGTCATTCCGCCAAGGTAGTGTAGTCGGTGACCTGCAAATGGAACTTGCGGCTGACAGCCAAAGTGTAGCAGATGGGCTTGCTGTGACTTTATCTGCCTTATCTACCAACATTGATCAAAACTTATCAGCTAATGGTCAAACTCTGGTAGTATCTATATCGGCAAATGGTAAGTGTAAAAGACAGCCTTTTGTCACCTGCCATTCTTCTCTTAAGGCACCTTTACAACAGGATATTGTATTACAAAATATACTTTTTTAGTTGTCAAAACAAATGATTTTGTTGTTTGTGACTGGTTATCTTGAAATGAGTATCTTTCAGTTGTCTGCAATGTATAAAAAGCTATTTTCACAAAAGACATAATCGACAAGTCAATTTCAGATACGTTTTCAATTAGAAAATAGTATAGCCTTGCAACTGTGAATAAATAGTTTGTGAATTTAAATTGATGGTTCTAAATTATTTGCAATATTAGTAATCAACAAGTGACATATTGGTATGTTGTTTTCAAGAAACAAACAATAAATAGTGTTTGTTCACAAATTTGTTTGTGACAAATAATTTAAGCCTTCAAATTATGATATCTTGGAGTGACTTGCATTTTAATCGATGGGTATGTTATCATTCAATATCAAATTAGAGATGGTTATGTATCAATACCAAGGCAAGAAAATGCATGAAGTTTGCGCACATGGAGTTTGACATTCTGTGCAGTCAACCATGAAAAGTTGTACCAATAGAAGCAGGAGGAATGACTCTAGTGCTATATGTTTTATCACAATATTTTATACTCATATTTCAATAACTTAGGCAATTTAATTTTGTTTCACATATAGCTGTCGTAGCACATGAAGTATTAAGACAACTGTTTAATCATTATTATCATTTTGTTCATATTAAAGCAGTTATAGAGCTCTTGTCCTTCTACTGTCTAAACTTTATAAATAAAAAATAACGAAAAAATAAGTTGCTCAGTTATCAGAAGAAAATTAAATCATTCGTATATCTTTGAAATGAACAGTTCAGTGCGATCAAACAAACTGCCAGAACGGTGGGACATGTACTTCTTCTGGACAGCCTTGCAATTGCCCAACTGGTTTTACAGGAGATCTTTGCCAGAATGGTAAGTTCAATGTTGATCCTCACATAATGTCGGTTCAGACTATGGTTCTATGTTTATAATTATTATGACAAACTTTTAATCAAATAGATTGTGTTATTCTGTTTTTGTGTGTGTTTGTATTCTCCCTCTCACTCACTCTTCCTGGGCATATATATTTATTAATATATATATATATACGGTATAACAAGAAATAGATGTTAGGGTACTCTCTTTTCTTTGCACAGTCACAACTGATTTCGCGTACATGTCCACATATATTTCATCTGGTCTTGTTTTTCATAATCTCATATTTGATCCATTTTTTCCAGCTTCTCAAGGATTGTCGAATGGAGCCATCATTGGTATTGCTCTCGGAGTATTTGGTTCTGTTCTCGTCCTCGTAACCTGTGTCTGCTGCGTTTTCATGCAAGGTGTCAGACGAAATCAAGCAACAAAAATGATGCTCGCGTGAGTATTACAATAAACTTACAAATCAGCAAGTTCCAAGCTATTATTTCCCATACGTTACCCACTACATCTATGATTTCAGTACATCTGACTGTAGCAAGATGGTAGGTTTACTAGAGCTTGAATCAGACAAAACAAAAAATTAAAATGTATGTTAATGTTGAAAATTACATGATGACGATGCCATAATACACTCCAATAATACTTAGTAAAGTATGGGACCTATATGTATTTTGAACTTGCCTTAGATGTATCTAGAGGTGCCTTGCTAAGTGGTATAACTCTTATTGACATGTGTATGCATGATAATTAGAAATTATCTACCTATCCATCTATCTATCAATCTGTCTACTTATATGTAGATACCTCTATCAACCTGTCTACATTTATTTATATAATTATAAACCTTTATCCACCTTTCTATTCATCTGCCTACCTGTCTATCTATCTATCAATCTATCCGACTCTGTGTGACCACAGATCCCTCTCGATTCTCTTTGAGATGCAGTGAACCACTGGATTGGACCATCACAGTTCTCAGTGATGGTCTTCTGTCTCTGCATATTTTGTAAATTTTGTGATGCTATTACTCACAATGTTAACACTGGCAGGAATTGATTCCTTGAAATGCTAGAGTGACGTATGGCATCATACTCGGGAGCGCCAGGAGTGTCACGTATGACAGACATGAGCGCTATACAAGAACCCACTATTATTATTATTATTATTATTATTATTATTATTTATTTTTATTTTTTTATTATTTTTACTTATAACAAAAATATATAACAATGTTTTGTTTTATTTTGTTTTCAGTGAAGAACGGTATGTCGATTCGAGCAGACAAAATAGAAGCTTCTACGGAAACGAATCTTTCAATGGTTCTGAGGAGTACGATTCCCTTGAAGGACGCCGGTATGCAGTTGGTCAAGCATTGGATCGACTACGCAGAACTGATGCGCCGGTATAAACAGTTTCCTTGTCCATATGTTTAAAGGGATATTTGAGTTCTGTTTTCAGACAGCAAATGCCTTTAAAGTGCATGGTTATTGCTCTAATTCTTATCTATGACATTTGTAGTGTCCTTTTAGAACCTAAAATTGCTATGAAGATAATTTTAGATCCCAAAATGTGTGAAATTTAGCCAATACGATCGTACCAATTTACATGAGCCGGCTAATTGTGGGTAATATAAGCAACACGAAAATGCCAACAAAAAACCAACATCGGCATTGGCTGAAATATGACATAAAAGGCGTTATTTCGTTTTTTCCACGTTTTTTTCAAATTTTTCAAAATATCTAATATGTGTGGTGGTACACAAGTATTAGAAATCGTTATATTTCAGCTGTCTCTGAACCGATTTTGATCAAACAAAGATGATTTTGTCATTTAAATATTATGTTCTTTTAAATTTGACACTCAGTTTTTAATTATCTTACAAACAATATTTTGTGTAGCGCCCTCTGCAACAGAACTCAACTATCCCTTTAACGCTATATATACCACACAAATAATCTCCCTCTTCAACATATATTTATCATGTAATAAATATACCAAAGGCTTTTCATAATTTACAAAATAGCTGAACATTGTAGTTTTCACACACCTGCATATACATCGCTTGTATAGGAAATGTATTACCATCCTTACAACACCATACTTGCCTCCTTTAAACGATGTCATGCATGATATTTATCGAGAAATGAAAATGTGTTTCAATTTAGTTTTTTTACATTTACATTCCTCATTTGTTTACTACTGTTTCATATTCATAGAGAGAAGCCAGAAGTGTTCCTATACAAAATATGCAATTTTCTCAAAACAATTATAGTAATTGCTTAATGTTTATAATGCATGATGGTGGGGCAATGTGTGCTTGAAATTAAATGATTCTTTATGCAACATATAAAATGAATTTGACCCCGACACAGCAAGGGTTATCAACATGAAAATAAATAGTGAAAACAAAACAACCAAGAAAATCATCAAGGCGTGGATGGTGAATGTGCACCACTCCCCCCCCCCCCCCCCCCCCCATCCCGTACTTATAACCTCCAGGACATATACCACTGCTTGAAATACCCACGTAGATATCAAAATCTGAATATCAGTAGGGAATTATATTCAGCTTGACAATGAATGATCACATTGAATAGACCATTTTACTAACTCTTTCAATTTATACACGTTTCTTCTCCCCATTACCAGCCATTCCGTTCACCTGCTAATAATTGCATCTCTATGAATGGGATACACTTTGCTTACATTATTTCGTGCTATGTTGGTAAATCCATGGGCAAGTTTTTGAGTAGTCAAGAAAAACATTGTTTAAAAAGTATGCATAAACAGGTCTAGTGAATTTTTTTTTATTTATTTTTTTTTAATTCAAGATACAACTAGATTCTTCATTATCTGTTTTTAATCAGTATACTTTTCGATTTAATGATTTTATAGATTATGTTTTGAAAGAAAAAGAAATTATCAAGTCTTTTATTATTGTTTGTCTTCCCAACAGCATCATGAAGATCGCAATTTCAGGACTCCCTATGTGGTAGATGGGAGTGAAACGGTATGTAGAAGATTATTTGCATTTGACAATGCTCTGCATTCGTAGTGTCATTTATCAGGAGAGTTTGGCCAACCATATTTGAGTTGGGCGAACCATTTATGAGTTTGGCAAAGCATTGCAAATACTGCTATGATGGGCAGACACTGAACAAAAATACACTATGTTCTGACCAACTGAAATCAAGTTGATCAAACTATTGTATATATGGCTCTGAGTTCTTGTAATATGGTATGCCACCTATCAGATGTCATGGGCCAATTTATGACTTCTGGGCTCGACATAAAACTTTTCACCCACTGTTTGTGGACATTTGATGCATACAGAGTCATCGAATGAAGAACCTTGGAACGTGTCAACTCCTTTCTCCCAAGAACTATACAAGATTGGCATAAGTTACCCCTTTAAATTGGTGGGAAAGTTAATCTGCCTTTTCAAAATTCTTTATGTATTTTGTAGTGTTAATTTAAGTAATGATAACGATCTTGGTTTGTAATAGGGCTTGATACATTGGCAATGTCTCTAAGCACTTTATTGTTATAGTATTACCATTGGTCATTGGATTTAGGCTTGCCTGCACCCAATGCATGCAAATGTAGGCACATTCTCCTGAGGTGCCAACAGCCCAGCCAAGTGCCATTTTACAGAAAACCACAATGCTAAGCAAATTGCAGTGACTTTCGCATCATGCCTGGTACCCATTTAATACCTGAGTAGAGATTAGTAAATGTGGATTAATTCCAGTCAAAGGACATTATTGCTTGGCTTGGATTCGAACCCTCAACCCTTGGATTAAAATTCAATTGAATGGACCACTATACCACGACACCTCCACTTTGACCGTCTTAGGAAAATGACCCATTCCCAGTCTTAATATACTGGAATTACTTTTAATTAATTAATATGTTATTTTACAATGCTTGTCATGTCACATTTGTGTCCTTTCTCTAACCCCTCATTTATTATTTCTATTTAAGAGTGCTCTGATCACCAGAAAATAGATTATTTTATATGTTACTAGTTCCATGTTGTATCACTTGATTCCAAATATGAGTTTTAGAGATATTACTTTAAATATTTTAACTTAAATTATTATAACACTCTCAATTCATATACAAGAAATTTGTGAGTACACTATGGAGTATGCAGTGCACCCTCAGCACTCGCTTCTAATAGGGCTCACACGGAACCAAAGTCCAACTTGGGTTCCACATGCACTGTTTTATATCCTTACCTTTTAACCGTGAATCCATTAGATGCCTGGTTAAATGTTGAAGTTTGATTTATTAATTTTAGCAATACATAACTTATTTGTGTTAAGTGATTGGTACACTTTAATACCAAAGGATATGTATTTTCTTTCAAACTTTGATTTTCTGTTTTGTTCTACTCTTCTTTATTACAGTACAACGGTGTGGAGCGAAATCCAATGCATGATTGATCACCAAGAAACTTACCTTCGGACAAAGAACGAATATGACAACGGAAAAGAATTTAGTGAATTAGTTACGTCTTATGGATAGATGGGTTCTCTTCTGGATAGGCTAAATATCAAAGTGTATACAATCATATTATTAGATTAAGTAAGGGCTTACTTGCATTTTACAGATTGACTGATTTAATTGATGTAATCATTCCAAGTCTCTGTTTAAACAACCATACTATTTTATCAATTAACGGCTTACTTGCATTTGACCGATTGGCTAATTGAATCGATGTAATCATGTTAAACTCACATCATTTTAAAAAGACTGTTTTTCAGCAAGTCTGTGTTACAAACATAAAACTGATGTTATATAGATCAAATCGGATATATGTACATGAATTAATTTAATGTAATTTACTGTATCTGTGAATATATAAGGGCTTCATTGTTAATCTAGAAATGGTTTGATATCATATCTTTATTGATCAAGTAATTTATATTCACGTTACAACATATTATAAATGTGGTAAAACATGATTTCACCCAAACTGTTATCTAAAGAGCCGATTCCTATCACATGCTTTTAACGTGTACCAATTTTAAGTATTTAAATAGTACAAATTTTCTATAGTTTTATTTCAATTGCTTATGGTAGCGGGAGTATAATACATTCTTTAGCATTCTGATTTTGTATGAATAGATTAAATGCATATGATGTAGAAAAGAGAGCTATCAAGTAAACAGAATAGTATGATCATATGGGATCAATCCATGGCGCTAAAACAGTACGAACAGTAATTTTGGATCTTTCCTTTATGAATATAAATAACAATATTTACCTGTGACATTTTTGCCAGGCAACAAAGTAACCCCCTTGATAGGCTAAATATCAAAGTGTATACAATCATACTATTATATTAATTAAGGGCTTACGGTATTTGCATTTAACCGATTGACTGAATAAATTGATGTAATCATGCTTAGTCTCTGTTACAAACGATCATACTATTATACTAATTAAGGTTTACTCAAATCAGTCTAAAAATACTGCTTGTCAGCAAGTCTTTGTTGAAAACATAAAACTAATGATATAGAAATATTTGAAGGTAAATATAAAAATGAATTGAATACGATTTTCTGTATCTGTGATTGTATAAGGGCTGCATTGTTAATCAGGACGGGTTTGATATCATATATGTATTGATCAAGTAATTTATGTTTATCTCACAAAATATCATGAATGTGGTAACATATGCTTTTTCCTTAACTGTTATTTAAATAGCTGATTCCTATCTCTTGCTTTTAATGCGGATCAATTTTAAGACTTTAAATAGTACAGTTTTTCTATATTTTTAGTTCAAATGCTTATGTTAGCGGGGAGTATACCATCCCCCTCTTTTTCTCTCTTTATATATATATATATATATATATATTAAATAAATACTCTTTTTAATTGATATGGTTTTGTATGAATAGATTTAATTGCAAATTATGTAGAAAAGGGCTATCAAGTACCCAGAATAATGTGATCATATAGGGTAAATACATAGCACTAAAACAATACGAACAGTAACTTTAAATATTTCCTTCATGAATAAAAAAAACAATATTGTTTACCTCTTGCACTTGTACTTGTAATATTTTTGTCACGTACCAAATTAATCCACATCCCCCCCCCCCCCCCCCCCCCCACTACCAGGAATAGTTTTGATCCCACTTGCTTGACTTGCAATTCAAGGATTGTGTATTAAACAAGGACTTGTTTGTTTAGTTAATTAATTAAAAGGTTATGCTGATTATATGAAGATTAAGGGAAGTGTAACCAAAACTTTCACGTAGGTCCTTTCTCTTGGTTAGGAACATGTCGCTTCAATAATGATGTGGAAATGAATTGGGTTGGGAAAAAAAGACATGAATGTACGTACGATGTATTGAAACAAAGCAGACCTGCAATGGATGCGTCATGAAGAACAATGACAAGTAAATTTATTATGCACACATACTTTCTTTTGTCTCATTGCCATGGGAAAATATGAATTATTATTTTCTAAACATGTAATATATATTTTGTTTAATGTCTATATTCATGTTCCTGCAAAGCAATTCATCATACAGTACTAGAGTTATACCCCTTATAAGTCTTTCATGTTTCAAGGATGTATGTTTTTTTTATATATTTTTGTTCGTATGATATATTTTTGTATTGATATGTATTTTTCATTAGAGATCACTAGTAATTGTAATAAAAGTTCCAATAGGGAAGACTGCTGAATAGTTATTTGAGTCCATGTGTGATTCATACGGTATATGTTTTCAATACAGACAATTTAAGACGTGTGTGTATACTATTATTATCATCATCATCATTTTCATTTTTAATTATTATCAACATTCATCATCATTAATATCAGGATTGTTGTTATCAAAATTATCACTATTTATTATTATCAACATTCACGGCTGATAAATGAGGAAACGACAAACTGTTCGAATTATGTACTTTCCGTGGCTTTATTTAACATTGGTTACTGACAAGTTTACATGTATCATTTAACCATGGCGGTACATGAATTCACACCAATATTAGATTTGAAAATCCAATTAACCCATACACAAGGCGTTTTGGCGTGCGCCTGTAATCCAGCTAAAAGTGGAAGTTACAAACTGATTCAGACGAGGACGCAGGTTCGAAACTGTCCTTCGGATGGTGACGTTTAAAGGTCGGTCCTTAAGCGTAAATAATCATATCTGATTGATACACGTCTGTAAAACCCAACAAACATAGACACACACACACACACACACAGAGCTAGTGCTGGAATATCTATGCTGAAAATGAGGAAAATCTGCACCCCATACCAGGCGGCTCAGGGGTTTTAAATTATCGTCAGATGAGCATATTTTATACCTTATTTGTGACACTGGCAGGTCACGAATTGGCGTGGGTCCAGGGGGCAGAGCCCCCCGTAGCTCAGGGGTTTTGGGCAATAAATTACTGTCAGATGAGCATGATTTTATACCTTATTTGTGACACTGGCAGGTCACGAATTGGCGTGGGGTCCAGGGGGCGGGTCCCCCGAAGCTCAGGGGTTTTGGGGCAATAAATTACTGTCAGATGAGCATGATTTTATACCTTATTTGTGACACTGGCAGGTCACGAATTGGCATGTGGTACAGGGGGTGGAGCCCCCGGAAGCTCAGGGGTTTGGGGCAATAAATAACAATCAGATGAGCATATTTTTATGTCTATTTGTGACACTGGCAGGACAGAAATTGGTGTTGGGTCCAGAGGGGGGAACCCCAAGAAGCCCAGGGGTTTTATACATTAAAATATCGTCAGATGAGCATGATTTTATACCTTATTTGTGACACTGGCAGGTCACGAATTGGCATGTGGTCCAGGGGGCGGAGCCCCCGGAAGCTCAGGGGTTTAGGGCAATAAATAACGGTCAGATGAGCATATTTTTATACCTTATCTGTGACACTGGCAAGACACAAATTGGTGTAGGGTCCAGGGGGCTCGTGGCAAGTCAGACGAAAATCCAATTGAAACCAATTGAACACCAATTGAATTTTCAATTGGTTTCAATTGGTTCCAATTGGTTCTAATTGGTTTCAATTGGTCTCAATAGGTTTTAACAGGTTTCAATGGGACTTTAATAGGACTTCAGATGGTTTCAATTGGTCCAGATTGTCCCTATTGGACCAATTGGACCCATTGGCCTAGGCCCCATTAGACTTTATTGGGGCTCCAATTGGTTTCAATTGGACCAATTGGCCTGAAGTTGGACTTCAATTGGTCCAATTGAAACCAATTGAAAACCTTTTAAGGTCTAGTGGGGCCGATTGGTCTAATTAAAACCCCATTAAAGTCTAATAGGGCCAATTGAAACCAATTGAAACCAATAGGACCAATGTTAAATAGAAACCAATTGGACAAATAATAGAAACCAATTGGGGTAACCAAAAGATTATTTTGTCTGATCATGTTACAATTACATTCACGTTTTAGCAATAAATATATTGACTATAATTATGATTACTAACCAAGAAACAATATACATATTTATGTGAACGAGCCTGTGTAACTTTAAATGTTACTCTTGAATACACTTCAAATGATCCATGTGATGAAGTTAATACAATTGAGAATAGAAAATACCTTTTGGTGGACAGTTGCCAATATCGATTATGAAGTATCAGTTTATCACTGATTCTTCTAACTGGATCGATTCACCAATTGAATCCCTTACATGTATCAGTTTCTTTCCCAGATGACGGGGTTTCGTTCTTGCTTTTCGTGGGGTCCTTTAAGGTGGGGGATTGGCTCTGGGACTGGGTTAAATTTTCTTGTGTGTGATAGGTTATGGATGTTCTGATTAATTGTAAATTGTTCTCCCTCAACGTGAAAGGGATCAGGGACAGAGATAAAAGGGAACGCATATTTTTCTGGTGTAAAGATAAAGGGGCGGACATTGTTTTCCTACAAGAAACATTTAGTACTAGCGATTGTGAGGACAAGTGGGCTTCAATGTGGGAGGGTTCTACTTATTTTAGTCATGGTTCTAATCACAGTAAAGGAGTTCTCGTTTTGATTGCGCCGAGGATAGATATTGAGATATTGCAAGTCTTAAAAGACAGTGAGGGTAGATATATTTTTATAGACTGTAAGTTTCAAGGTGTTAGGTTGATTTTAGGCAATGTGTATTTTCCAACAAGAAATTTTGAGAGTGATCAATTGCAATTTCTTCGAAAATTACGCAATAATCTGGCTAAGTTAAATAAAGATAACTACCCGGTTATAATAGGTGGTGATTTTAACATGATTAGGGACATTGAATTTGATTATAACGGGAAATCTTTAAACAGGATTTCGAAAAGATTTAATCGAGAATTTGAAAAATTCATGGAAGATTTGCAGCTTTTGGATATTTGGAGATGTAGGCATTCTTTAAAAAGGCAATTCACTTATATGCAAAACAATCCCTTTATGCAAAGTAGACTAGATTACTGGATAATATCAGAATGTCTATAGGAAATGGTTATGAAGTGCGATATAATTCCATCTGTTGCCCCTGATCATCATTCAATATTTTTACGTTTATTTGACAAAACAGTCAATAAAACGAATGGAAGAAAAGGGTCATATTGGAAATTCAATAATAGTTTATGTGAAAATGAAGATTATGTTAGAGAGTTAAAAAAGAAAATTTGTCAATTAAAAAACGAATTGCAAACTAAAATAAAAGACAAAAGGTTGTTATGGGATTTTTTAAAAATGAAAATTCGGAGCTTTACACAAAAATTTTCAAAAAAATTGGCTGATCAAAGAAGAACAATAAGAACAGATTTAGAAAAAGAAATACAATGTTTAGAACAACAATTGACGGAAAGCACTAATGCAGATACTTTAGAAAAATTGGAAAATACAAAAAAGAAATTAAAGGAAGTTTATAGCTATGTAAATGAAGGAATTAGGATTCGATCACGAGCCTCGTGGTACGAAAGCGGAGAAAGGGATTCGCGTTATTTCAATCAATTAATGCAAAATAACAAAAGAAAGAGTACTATTAAAAAATTAAAACCTCAGATGGTGCTATTTGCTGCGATGAAAAAAGGATAACTGAAGAAATCCGGAAGTTTTACAGCATGTTGTACAGTAAAGTAGAGTACGAGTGCTCGGATAATTGTTATAATAGTTTCTTTCAAGGTTTACCGAAATTGACTGAAAAATCTCGAGAATACTGTGAAGGATCTATAAGTAATAAAGAATGCCTAGAAATCTTAAAAGAATTAAAACAGAACAAATCACCTGGAAATGACGGTTTTTCTTCAGAATTTTATCGTACCTTTTGGCCGAATATTGGAGATTTAGTTAAAGATGCCTTGAATGAAGCATATAGATTAGGAGAATTAGCATCGTCTCAAAAACAAGCTGTAATTACGTTAATCGCTAAAGATGGGAAAGATCCCTTTTCACTGAAAAATTATAGACCCATTTCCCTTCTTAATGTCGATTATAAAATCTTAACAAAAATTTTGGCTAAGCGAATCAAGAAAGTATTAAATGAGATCATTATGGGAGATCAGGTGGGCTACATGAAAGGGAGGAATATTGGTGAGGCCATTCGCATTATAGATGATATTATTTTTCATACATCCCGTTACAATTTATCTGGTTTTTTGTTAGCTGTAGACTTCGAAAAAGCTTTTGACTCAATTTCACATCAATTTCTTCAAAAAGTTCTGTCGTCATTTGGTTTCGGTCCGTCCTTTCAAAAGTGGGTTAAAGTTTTATACATGAACACTCTAAGTTGTGTATTAAATGAAGGAGGGTCCACTGGTTATTTCAAAGTAGAAAGGGGAGTAAGACAGGGAGACCCTCTTTCTCCGTACCTCTTTATCTTGTGTATTGAAGTAATGGCACACAAATTACGAATAGATAAATTGGTGGACGGAATTAATTTTGGAGATAAGGAAACTAAACTAGTACTTTATGCGGATGATATGACAATTTTTGTTCGCAATAAAAAATCAATTAATAGGTTAAAAGTATTATTTGCAGATTTCGAAAAAATTTCTGGACTGAAAATAAACAACGACAAGACTAAAATATTAAGGTTAGGTTCATGTCAACGTTTAGATTGTGATTTTGCTTTTGGCGAAATAGTTGACTTTCTTAAGGTTTTAGGGATTTTCTTTTCCCTCGATGAACACAAGAAAGAAGATCTAAATTATAAAGAAATCTTAAGTAAAATAAAAACACTTTTAAATTTTTGGAAGCAAAGGGATTTAACACTTATGGGTAAGATTCAACTATTGAAAGTGCACATTTATTCTAAAGTTCTTTATCGGGCGTCACTTACTCCTGTTCCAAAATGGGTTTATGATTCACTGGATGAATTAACTTTTGATTTCATATGGAAAGGAAAAACAGATAAAATCAATAGAAACACCATGTTCTTAGACTATAACCAAGGGGGGTTAAAGATGTTAAATTTTTCTGCACAAGTTAAATCGCAGCGAATTATGTGGATTCAAAAACTTCTAAACAAAGATGAAGACATGAAATGGAAACAATATTTGAACTTTGTCACTGAACACGTGGGTGGAGATTTGATATTTTCATGTGACTATATACCAAGTTTATTAAAAGTGACAGCTCCACAATTTTATAAGGATTTATTAGAAGATTGGGTGAATACGATACATATAAGGAGTATAGACATTGGTGATGTGGTAATTTTTAATAATAAACTTATTCGATATAAAGG